TGAGTTCGGTGCAGAAACCATGCAAGATCACTTGAAGCATGATATCATAATCGAAAGTAATCAAAAGAAGCGAACATAAAACTGAGCACGTCGAGCATCAAAAATCAAAGACTTGGGCAATTCTGGCAACAGTCAAGGTCGCTCTTTCCCTTACCTTTGAGGGGGGGCGGCAGCGGCAGTCGCAGCACCAGAGGCTGTCGACGTCGACGAGGCAAGTCGCACTTCGTTGTCACCTGCCAATGTTCGTTCTGCCATGCCCGGACTACGCCATCAGGAGGGCAGGCGCGGGTTCGCTGAGAGGCAACGACGGGGAAGGAACGACGAGAAGAGAAGCAGCCGAAGTATGTGGGGATAGATGTACCATAGACGGCGTACGTACGGTGCAGGATGCGTGATGTACAAGGTACAATGTGTGGCTGGGCTCGATGATGGGTTTTCAGGATCTTTCTTGGTGTTGTTTTGTGGTCGGGCCGGCCGTTGGGTATTGAGACGGTTACGGGCAGGCGAGCAAGTGACAAGGACGGGATGGCACACGGTGAACCGTGACGTCTCGGCGTTTCGTTGTTCCCCGTGCCTACGCTACGCCAAGCAATGTTGTGCAGTCGATACGCATCAGTGCGTAGCAGATCTGGAAGCGAAATCCGGTAGCAGGTGATGGATAGGGTCGTCTTGGATGCTGTTGACAAAATGAGAGGAGAAGATGATGGATGTGTCAACTGATGTGTGCGGTCGGGCAATGGCGATAGATGGCCATGGTCATGGCGGGATGACAGATGTAAGCCGTGTGGTTCTATGTTGCCATCGAGGTTCCGGCCTCTGAGTGGTTGGCCTTGCTCCAGCCGGCCCCTTTTCTTCACCAATCAGAGCTCGGTGCCGAGTCCCCTACTTTGACGTAGCAGCTGCTCGACTCGCGAAGTCAGTCATGATATTATTAAATGTTTCTCATACGTACCACCGCCCCAAGCGCCGACTTTGTTCGTCGCCCCTTTCCCCTCGTGCCTCTCATTCTCTTTGTTTTGACTGCACCTATCCCAGCTAATGGCAAGAATGCCGCACTCAAGATCAGACGCGCAACGCCGCGCATGAGTCGATGTTTCTGACTGAATCTATCCCATGGACACGAGGTAGAATCCCTCCCCACTATACCCAGCTCCAGAATCTAAAATGATAAGAGATACTCCATGCTGTTATTGTCAAATATCCGTTCCTCAAATCCCTGGCCTAGCGAAATGCAATTAGAGCTCTCTCTCGAATGATAAATGTCCTGCTGATCTTGACTCCGAACACGCCTGATGGCAAGACGTTCCTCAATAGCTACTTAGGTACCTAGGTAGAGAAGAGGATGCGAGCGTTTATGAGATGTGAGGAAAAGGCAGGCTGGGCCAGCTTCGTGACGCGGTAGCTGCCTTGACGGGCGTCACGCACGCGATGTCAGCCCTTTCTTTTATCAGTTGCGTGGTCCGAATTGCACTTCCCTTTCGGAAGATGGCTAGGGACCGAGCAAGCCGATCCGGTCACGCTCGTATGCTGGTTCGCGACCTTTTCCCAAGTTAAGTGACGCTGGGTCACCTCCAGGCCGGAACGACATGACTCCCTAGGCTTAAGTATTTTGCGTATGTTTTCACTAACAAATGCAATACTTGTCAGCACCATGCCTACCGCAAAGATCTACTAGCGAGTTGGACCGTTTTTGTAGAATCAGACGTACCGGAGAAAATAGTCCATAGGAAAGCGGACTCGTTAGCATTGGAGAAGTTGTTGGAAGTAACCGCTTCACAATTGCGCTACTCCTGTCCATCTAGCGAGCACAGCTGTATCAACTCGCCAGCTCTCCCTACGCTCTTTATGCTAGGAGAAGACCCTAACTCCTGCATGCTCGGGGCGCGGTCAGATTTCGCTATTGGTAACAAAGCCTGGTTCCGTGTGTAGACATGAGTCGCCCTGCCACAGGCTGTAGAGTGTGATATTAATGCGGTCCCATTCTATCTACAATAAGTCAATGGAATGACGATGCTACGACATTCGACCGCCGACGCAAACATACACGCTGCATAGGAAAGGCGCAAATCCCTTCCCTAGTTATCGTAGGGAAGCTCGATATGGTTCGGCTTGCTCCCGCCTTCGGCTCCCGGGCTTCCAGGTCAGGACGATTACAAAAGAGAAGCTTATTAACACGATGAAACTTGTAAAACAAAGAGAGGTAATAAGAGATGTTAGACGCCTGATGAGCCCAAGATCGATTCGCATCGTGTTGAGGTGCTAAATAATCCAGTCGGGTCGTTACCTATGAACATGGCCCTTATGGTTTATGATTGACCGTCTCAGTCGTTCTCCCTTCCCCACCAGCCATGGACTTCTTCCTCTTGGAGTCTTTGAACGCCTAGCTATTATGTGCGTTCGATTCCGGCTCTCTCAGAGTCTTCTATAGATTTTCGAAGGCAATAATGTTGAGCCCGCCATAACTATTAGTAGAGCTCCCATTTTATGAATCGGGGTTTCATATAAACTCGTTATGTAGACAACAATATTGTTCAGTCGTGTATCACATACCTCGTTGTTTCTGCAATTCCTCCACTGCACTTCAATTATGTTGAAGTATATACATGGTACAATCACTTTGACGAGTGACGAGTATTCACACATAGATTGACTAAAAAGGGTCTATATACAGGTTGTCACAAGTCAGCCTCGCTTTTCAAAGCCAGCGGCATAGAAGCCATTCTACACGCTGCTTCCAAATCAAAACAGCACGTAGCGAGCCATTCCAGCGAATTCATAAAGTTTATTCAGCATATCCCTAAAGTTTTACACTATTGATTAAGAAAAAATTAATTTTTTTATTCACCTTTAACTCGTCTCCCACATGACCCATCTAGACCTTCAGGGACTCCTTGCCGCCCTCGTATTCTGAAAAGTCATACTCATCAGGATACTTGTCCAGCATGTAGCGAAGCTCCTCAATCTGCGCCTTCAGGTCGGGCGTCAACTCCTCATAGACATCCTCAAACATAGTTCGCAGCGCAGGTTTCTTCTCCTTCTCGGCCTCGGAGAAGCCCTTGAGGATCTCCTTTCGCAGACTATCTCTGGCGTCCTTCTCCTTGGTTTCGTCCCAGCAACCCTTGGCCTCCATCCACTTTCGCAGGCGGGTGATTGGGTTGTCGCGCCTCTTCCAGTCCTCGACTTCGACGCGGGCGCGGTAGGCGAATGAGTCGTCGGACGTGCTGTGGTGGGAGACGCGGTACGTCATGCACTCGATGAGGATGGGCTTGCCGCCGTCCTGGAGGGCCATTTCCCTGGCCTTCTTGACGGCCTCGCGCACGGCCCAGATGTCGTTGCCGTCGATGCGGATCGTGTCTATACCGTAGCCAATGCCACGGCTGGCGATGCCGTCTCCGCGGTACTGGTCCAGCGTGGGCGTCGAAATGGCGTAGCCGTTGTTGCGGCAGATGAAGATGACGGGGCACGAACGCGTCGCAGCAATGTTCATGGCGGCGTGGAAGTCACCTTCGCTGGCAGCGCCCTCGCCGAAGAAACATACCGCCACCTTGGCCTTGGAGTTGGGGTCCTGCAGCTTTTGCATCTTCAGGGCGTAGCCGGCACCAGATGCCTGGGGGATTTGCGTCGCCAGCGGCGAAGAAACAGTGTGCTATACGGGATGCAATTAGCGTTCCGTAAAAGACTAAACTACCCGCATGGCCGGGGCCAGCGCAGACGGTATACTCACGATATTTAACCTCTTGCTGCCATAATGAACAGGCATGTTCCTCCCCTTGCCGGGGTCATTCTTGTTCGCAAAAAGCTGCGACATAAACTCCTTGGTGGTCATCCCCCTCTCCCTGAAAAACCCTTGCTCTCTGTACTGGCAGTACACGGGGTCTTCTGGATCCAAAACACTCGAACTGCCCACGCTGACAGCCTCCTCGCCGGCGCTCACCATGTAGAAGCTCAGGCGGCCCTGGCGCTGGGCATCAAACATGATCAAGTCCATGATTGAAATAAACAGCATGTCCTTGTACAGCTTCACCACCGCCTCGTCCGAGATGTCAGGCTGGAAAGACTGGTCGACCACGGCGCCGTTCTGATCGACAACTCTATACGTAGGCAGGGCCTTGTACGACTCGGGATGTTCAAAGCTCAACTGCGTCGTGAAGGCGCTCTTCAGCGCACCAGGGAAGGACACATAACCGGAATTGGGTCTTTGGGAGACGCTGCTCGCGGCGCGGACGGGTGCGGCAAAGGGCGTCTTGGGGATGGACGTTGTCGCCCGTCGGAGGGGCAGGTTGCGGATGACTCTGGACTTCATGGTGAGAAAGGGGCGCTGTCGGCTCTCACAACACGATGTCTCTTTTTCTCAAGCGAAAAAACAGCTGTGATGATACTTCAGCCGACCCCTCTAGAAGGAGCGCAAAGTAAAAGGACGAGTAAAGAATCTCAATGGTGTTTTCGGCCCAGTTGGCGCGGAGAAAGTCTACGACAATGGTTGTCGACGGCCTGCGGCGGCGATGACGCTTTGAGCCGACAGAACCCGCCGCCTCGGGTTGATGCAGCACCCCGGATGTCGGATGGAGCAAGAAAACCCCAGGAATTCATTCAACGAAAAATTACCCCAGCCCAGCCGGGTGCTCTGTAATCCGCTTGAAACACGGCAGCTATGCATCCTATTACACCAATTGGAGGCTGGCATTCGTACCACGGACACTTGTGCGACGGGTCGGGTATAGGCACGCTGTTGCACGCCATGAACCTGCTATTCACAGCTCAGACTGCGAATGCGTACGGAGCCGGGACTGTGGCAGCTGGCAGCTTCTGTTGGCGGCTGCACAGGATGACTATCAAATTCAAGTCAATTTTCTGCCTTGAAGTGCATGCCCTGTAACAAATGTCTTCATTTGCAACCCCGTTCATACCGATGCATGCAGATTGTAGCCATCAGCCACACCACAAAGCCAACATACAAAACCAGGAATCAGGCTCCGGTTACAGAGCCAGATCGCGCCGAAATGATGACCCCTGGAAGCAGTCTCGCTCTCCTCATACTCGGAATCATGTCCCTGGTCGGCCTCGTCTTCTGGTTCCTCAAATCCAAAATCAACAAGTTTGTCGACGCCCTGCTTGCCTACAAGCGCAAGCTCACCGATGCCGAGCAGGCTGCTGAAGACTCAACCGCCGCCCCGTCTTCGTAGACGACTGCAATTCACCAAATCAATTCCACCCATTTCCTGCTTTTTTTTTTTTTTTTTTTTTTCTATATTTCCTTAATTTCCCTCTTTTTCTTCTCTCTCCTATATTCGTGCCAGCAACCCACATGATTCCGCCCATCTGCAACTCACCCTCCAACGCCACAAGACATCACATCACAACTGTGGCTCGAGCTCCACTCCCCTAACCCAGGTCCTCCCATGTCGCAAATTTCACATACTAGTACCTACTACTACGGCCAACGAACCTCATACGACCCTTCATTTATTCTCACGACCACCCTCCGCCTCTCGCCACCCAAGCGTCACCAATTGCGATCCCCCAAAAAAGATGGTGGCACGCCGAGCTCTACGGAGCTGTACAATCAGTTCCTTCCGACCATCAAGATGTCTCAACCGCACAGCTTCCCGCCCTTTCTGCACAACCCACTTGCGCCGAGAGCAGCAACGAACTCCAACGGCAGATCGCGAAACACACTTTGGCTACGAGACGGTCACGGAGAGCGAGAAACAAGACCGTGTAGCGGGCGTCTTTTCCAGCGTCGCCGAGTCGTACGACAAGATGAACGACTTCATGTCTCTGGGCATTCACAGGCTATGGAAGTGTGTTCCTCCAAGCTCGTCACTGCTTCCCACTCCAGTACTGACACACGCCTCTCAAGGGACCATTTTGTCTCCTCCCTCAACCCGGGAGCGACCACGCCCCTCGGCAAGCCCCAGAGAATGCTCGACGTAGCCGGCGGCACAGGCGACATCGCCTTCCGCATGCTCCAACACTCACACGTCCACAACGCCAACCCGAACATCCACATCACCATATCCGACATCAACCCGGACATGCTGGCCGTTGGCAAGCAGCGCTCCCTCGACCTCCCCGCCTCCTACCAGTCCAACCTCTCCTTCCTCGAGGCCAACGCCGAGATGCTCCCGGAGCAAATCAAAGACAACTCTCTCGACCTGTACACCGTCTCCTTCGGCATCAGGAACTTCTCCAACATCCCCGCCGCACTGAGGGAAGCCCATAGGGTCCTCAAACCAGGCGGCGTCTTTGCTTGTCTGGAATTCTCAAAGGTGGACCAGTACCCTCTCCTGAATGCCATCTATAAACGGTGGTCCTTTAGTGCCATCCCCTTGATTGGCCAGTTAGTCGCTGCTGATAGAGACAGCTATCAGTATTTGGTGGAGAGCATTGAGAGGTTTCCCAGCCAGGAGGCTTTTAGGGACATGATTATTGATGCTGGGTTTGCCGTGTCGGGCGATGGCTATGAAAACTTGACCGGTGGCATTGCAGCTATTCACAAGGGAATCAAGCCGTTGTAATATCGCATCAGCTACGTGTATGATTAAAGCTGCTGTATAATAGTGTATTAAGCTGCAAAGGTACAGCAACCAAGAATCAAACTATAAAAAAAATGAAAAAGAAAGAATCTTCAACCCTTACTCCGTCAGCACAGCACAAGCAATTGGTATCATCATAATCACCTTTGATCAAACAAAACTCTCACCTCAGGCCCACCTGTTTGCCACACTCGGCAGCTCAGTGCAACAAAAGTAAGCATCATGCCCAAAGCGAAGAAGAAAATATGAACAACAAGATGCGAACAAAATAAACTCCATACAAATCAAATTAAAAAGTAGAAAAAATAGGGGCCAAATCCGCGACTGCGAAGCCCCGGTAGGCTCAATATCTCATTAAGTACACGTACACAGAAACGCAGCCCAAAACGGCGGACCCTTGCGAGAAGCGGCTCTTTTTCCTCTCCTCCCTCCAACCTTGCTCCAGAGCTAGAATCAAATACGACAAGAAAATTGATGCCAAGGACTATGGCTCGGTTTCCATACGTGAGCGGGAAATGCGGATAAAACAGTGAGGATATTCAATGAATCATGAGAGAAACAAGTGACAACTAGCCATCACTTCCTCATTCCGCTGGCGTTGATGGGGTCGCTGCTGGGGATGAGGCACCACCTTCGCCCTTCATGCCACCGCGACCACGTCCACCACGTCCTCGATCACTTCCCCGTCCGCCCCGGCCACCTCGTCCGCCGCGTCGGTTGCTCTCCGAGTCGCTGTTGCCGCCTGCGCTTCGATACCCGCTAGCCGTGGCGCCCCCACGAGCATTGGCGCCCCAGGTTCCGGCACCACCGCGGGTACTAAACGTCTTCCCTTCTCTGTGTTGGAAGATCTTTACAAGGGGCCGGGTCCGGTCTTCCTGGGTGCGTGTCTTGATCTCCTCAGGCAATCGAGCCATGGCAGCATCTCGGTCTTCGGTAGTCTTGAATTGGACAACCTTGTTCTGGTTGCCCCATTTCTCAATCTTGACTATCTTGCCCTTATCGGCCTCGTCAAACAGGTCGCGGCACTGGTCCTCGCTGCTCACGTTCATGATGAACAGGCCAATGATGTCAGAAGCAAGAGTCTTGGGGGCGGGAGAGGAAACAGGCTCGGGACCGTTGGCAGATCCATTAGGGGCGGCTGAAGTCCTTTCATTGTCCTTGCTGCCGCCAGACTTGTTAGATGTCTGGCTGGGCTGAGGAGTGGCAGGCTTGGTTGGGCCAGGCGCCGGAGTGGTTGCGGAAGCACTCTTTGGCTGCTGTGTTGATGATGGCTGTCTGCTGGCTGGGGCCGTGGGTTGTGCAGCAGCAACAGGAGGAGCAGGAGTGCTGACAGTAGGACCAGCAGTAGAGACAGAAGGGGGAGGAGCACTGGCAGAAGTAGTAGGGGGAGCAGCTCCAGGCTGCTGCTTGGCACCACGATGGGAAAAGTTGAAGCCCTGGGCGCGCATTTCCGTTCCAATACGTCCATCCTGAATTTCCAAGACAAGATAGCCAAATGCAGCATCAGCAAGGTTGAAATTCCACATGTTCTTGAAGGCACTCTCATCAACCTGGCCCAAAGCAGCCTGACCGGTCACCGGGCCGCCAAAAGGATTACCGCCGGCGGCGGTAGTGGGCATCTTTTCGACAATTTGTAGCGCGTTCTTGAGCAGATTCTGCTGTGCTTCGTTCTGCGCAATGGCTGGCTCGACCTCACCTTTCACGGTCTCCCAGACATCGTTGAAGGAGGCCTTGGATGCAGCCAGTTTTCCGCGGTAATGATCCAAAGTTGGGTTTACGCTGAATTCGTTGTATGAGCTTCCATATCGGAAGTGCAGTCCAGCGGAAATTGAAAAGTCTGCCTTCAGAGCAACAGAGAGCTGATTCAAGATACCCTCTCTGGCAGGGGAGGCATGCGTGATAAAGATTCGGGTTTCGGTAGGATCGTAGACTCGGTGTGCCGTATCGACAAGCTCTCCCATCTGTAACAGCGTCGTCCACATAGTGCCTTGGCCACCAGCAATGGTGGTTCGGCCTTCACCGTTGTCAAACAACTTGTGCATGACAACAGCACCACCAAGACCCAGCAGTCTGAGCTTGACACCACCGACCTCGAGAAGCATGGAGCGAGCTTCATCAATGATATGTAGGTTGGGAACCTTGTACTCGGAAGACCGAAACTTTTCCAATACTCGAACGTCTTCGCAAGCACCCCAAACGGTATAGACAGGGACATCAAGCTTCACCTCTCCGCTGAGCAGAAGGGGAAGCTCGGAAAGCGGGAGGTCGCTGGCTGGGAACCGGGTCCTGACAGGTCCATTTCCGCCTTGTTGGATTGCCTTCTTAACAGGATCGGGAATCAGGGGAGAATATTGCGCGACATGCTTGAGGGTCTTTTCGGCAATACGTTCCAGTGACGTGTCGTCGTAAAAACCGAAATCACCCGTGTGAATGATGTGATCGGCGCGAGCCTGCTTTGCGAGTTCGTTCAACGATCTCAGGTTTCCTATAGCGCAAAAGATAAGCCCGAGTCCATTGTGGCCGCCGTACCAGCTACGGGGGGGTGGTGCAAGTGCTCACCTCGAACATCAGCAATGCAAAGAACACGAATAGGGCCTGTCTGAATGACTCTTCCTTGGTTCGGTAGGAGCGGTGCGGCGCCGGGTGGCAAGCTGCTGCCGCCGTTTTGCAGATAGCCCTGACTGTTGTAGGGTCGTGACTGGAACCCGTTAGTCAAGGTTCGTAGAGCAGACGTCCTCGCTCCTGGAGGAGCAGTCCGGGCAGTGGTAAATCTAGCAGCCATGGGAGGCACGTGGGTATGGTTGTGTGATGGCAGCGGGAGAGTCCAAGGGTTTTGGGTCTTGCGCTGCGCCGGTTGTGACGATGACAGGGAAAGAGAAAGGAGAGGGGGATGTAGTTCGAGGATGAGAGTGATGAAACGCAAAATACAAAGCCATGCACCAGTCGGCACAGTCAGGCTTAACAGGTGTTTGCCAACTTCTGCCAACTTCTGCCAGCTGCCGACCTGCGCCACGATGGAATTGGCGGTGCGCCAGCAGGAAGGAGCAAACGAGGACGTTTGGGCAAGGCAAACTCACAGCAGCCATTCTATCGACGAGGAGTTTGGTCGATCAATCAGACGCGCTCCGGGGTTCTGGAGAGGCGAGAGTCGAGAGGATTCGTAACTCCAAGGCGTACAAGATGTACAGTCGGTCGTCAAAGAAGGGGAGAAAAAGAATGAGACACGGCGGGAGATGGCCTGGGTATCAAAAAGGATGACGGCGGAGAGGGTAGATGGGCCGCAGTCAAAGGAGGTGCTAGGGTGAGGTGTGGTCTTCGCAGCTTGAATGTCGAACAAGGCTGGAGATAATTTTCCCACCCGCAAAAGTTGGCACCCCAACATTAAACCAACCAAGGACATGGGAAGCCCAGGAGCCAAACAGCGAGCGGCTAGCAGTGACCCGACCGTCTGTCTGTCTGTACTTGCGTACTGTGCTGCGCGTCGTGCAGCCAGTCCCAGCGCTCAGGAGGCGAGCTGTAGCTTAGCCGTATTCGGACTAGGCATGAAGTGTGCTGAGGCTGGCCCCGAACACGCCCCCAAGATTGCACTTGTGGGCGCACTTTACAGCGAATTACAGCGAGCAACAAAGGGCACCGTCAACAGGTGCACTGGCGCTAGAGACGGTCGAGGGGTGGCATCATAGATGGACATCCGGACGTCCAGTCCACCGTGCCACCGAGGTGCCAGGCTGAAGCGGGCAGCTACACTAAGTTCAGGCACCGCTAGTATTAGCTTGATGCCTGCGCAGTCAAGAGTGCCAGTGGCGTCTAGGACAGGCACCAAACCCTGCGAGTAACTTGCATGCACTCAGCCTACCCTACAGAGCGAAAGGTGGCTATTGGAATCTGTACGATCAAGACTTCATGTTAAATAAAATACTGCGTACCTAGGTAGATAGCCGTTGCCGCTGGACCAAGTTGCCGAGCTGCCTGATGGGCTGCTTATAATAGGACAGCAAACTTTGAAACAACAATAAACGAACACGACAAAATAGAATGCGAAGCACAGTCTCTGATGCATGTCTCGCGGTTGGCGTGTTCCATCTTGACAAAAAGAGGTCCAAGTGCCTGCCCTTAAAGTAATCGAGTTCTTAGACTTGGGTACCCTTCAAAGCCGCATTGTCGGATTGGAGTGACCCAGTACCTCCGCTGACTCCGTTGCTCTCGACAGTCGTCAAGATGCAGTGTGTATACATGCAAGCAGACAGTACGCACGACTTGCTATCTCAAGCACTGCCTGTCTCAAATCGTGATGGCAAATAGAACTCTGAGTCAGCCATCGAGAATTTAAATGCAAGTCGATACCGAGGAAGTGAGGGCAAGCCAGTCTACCGAGTAACACCGTAACCAAGCGTCGTTCTTGGTGGCCAAGTCGTCTGGTCTGATATGCGCCGTGAAAAGATCCAAGGCTGGTCTGATGCTTGACAACTAGAGTCGGGGCTTATCAGGTGAACCCCCGTCTGGTACATCCAAGTGCACCCACATGTGCGCTGAACTGAAGTATCTTACTCAGCCCTAGTGGTCCGTCCGCCCCTGTCTGCTTTGCTTTTGGCGGCTTCCAGCACCCCGACCGCCCCGGCGGTATGTGACGCAGAGGTGCATCTGGCGTCAATTGGCGCCGTACGGCCACGTGACGCACTGCATTGCGGGCTAAAGCCTGCTAAAGCCTCGAGTCAATTGGCGGCGCCAGAATGATTGAGGCGCCGCCAAGTGCATTAATGCCAGTATGCTCAAGTGCCCAACTTGGAAGTCCACAACTTGAGAAGGCGGCGCAGCACAAAGTCCGACACGGCAGTGACTGGGTCCCGGGCTCAAGTAATAAGTGGCACGTCGACGGACAACTCTCCTTCCCATCCAACTTGCAGACGCTCACGAGTCACGACTATATCGAACTGACCGTTGACGACCACACGACCAAGTCCTAGAAACGACTCCCTCGACAAGACGCGCCGAGCCCTGTCCTCTTTCGTCGGTATCCAACTCTTTCATTGTCACTGGCATCATCCGTTCAGCGTCTCCGTGGCCGGCTTCCCATTGCATACCGTCTCCTAATTAAATCCCCCCCACCATTTTGAGCATCGACAGTCCGCCCACTCAAAGCCTCGTATCCCCCATGCGACTATAAAGCCCGCCGACGACAGCAAGGCCCGGGCTAGGGAGGCGTTTAATTCGCCGCCCTGTTGTCGACAATTCGACATCGGCAACTGCTGCGAGACCTGTCCCGCTTCGTTGTCCGCTGGTGAATGACAGGAGTCGGCCTCCTTACCACGAAACGCCGCGGGGGTTGACTTGTGCAAGTAGGTTGTTTGGAACAACTTCACAGCACCTCGCCGGCAGCTAGAGAGCCCTCTACTTTGCCCTTGATGATGGTAAGATTGAAAATCGTGCTTGTAGACTGATAGCATCAGAGCCTATCTGTCCGGAGTGGCCATGTTCAAACCCAAGGGACAAGACCCAGCAATATGCTCCAACTCAGATCGCCTCCTCCTGTATTGTTTGCTGATCTGATGCCTTTCAACAGACCTCATCTCGACCCCGCGATGAAGCTGCGGGAAATTTTAGCAGCCGTCGCGGTCATGCAAGTCAACTTTCAATCTCAGACCCGAGCCATCATGTCACAGAAGCTATAGGGACGCTGTATGGCGATGAGGACGATTCTGGGTCCGAAACTGGCGGTCGACCATTAAGTTTTATCGATGGATCTTCGTATCACGAGCAGATACAACGACCAGCCCATCTCGACTCGCAGCACCATGCTCATGCCCGCTCCCGACATCAGCAGCAAATGGAATACGATTCCCGCAAGCCCTTGACGCGGTCAATGTCGGATGAACCTTACGCCACACAGTCCTCCTATGAAGAACATGGCGAGAGCCTTAAAAAATCACAAACCTTGAACATCCCCTCACCGAACCGTCGAACCAGCATGCAGTATGAAGGAGGTTCCAAAGCGCCTGCATCGCCGGCTTTGTCACTACGCGATGTTCAAGCCGGCGAGGCGGGTTCGCAGTTTCCGCTTACCAACATTGACAACCCAAATGATATCGCGCAGGAATTGAGCAACCTGCAAGCTCTCAGGCGCATGTCCATGGATGTCGGAAACAGTATTGATCCGGATATGCCACCTATCGGACTTTCAGCAATGCCAGTCATAGCCCCGTCTGGCAATGACGACGAGAACGATCCATCGAGGCTTTTATGGGTCCCAGCCAGAGTTCACCCCGAACTGGCTCCGAGTGAATTCAAGTCCTTCCTGGAGAACCGTGTACAGTCGATTAGAAGGAGATCAGGCGAGTCTTTTCTTTCTGCAGAAGGCGGTGACCCGAATCGCAGCAACTCGGGGTCCCTGAGACGCCAGAAATCAATGCTCTCTCGGCAGATTGACAACTCCAGTGGGCAAGGAGCAGTAGGATATGTCGACGGGGCAGACCGCCTGGAGCGCAAACGGTCAACTGCGGGCAGCCATAACCGCGAATTAAGCCTTGATGAGTTGGTCAAGGACCCTACTCGTGCCGTTCAAAAGCTTGCCAAGGAAGTACAGAATACCCCCTGTGGAGAAGAGGGTAGCACTGATGATATGCCAATTCTTCCCATGGCTCCTGGGATGGGGCTGAGACGATCGACAAGAACGACGTATCGCAAGGGTGGTAGTCTACGATCTGGCGACAGAGTACCATTTTCAAAGCGTCTGGCCCAAAAGCAACAAGACGGTGAATTGCCGGGTCTGCCAAGTGTACCTACAAGGGACGGGTTACGGGGACACACACCAGACAGGGTTCAAGAGCCACTGTCAGAAAACTATTCGAGGCCATCAAGATCGGCCAGAAAGCAATGGGACTTTTGTCAAGACTCGCCAGGTAACGACGGCTCTTCTCCTTACGAAGAAGACGCTAGGGTCACATCACCGCCGGTGCAAGAGCAGCTCCATGTCCGAGCAATCTCGATGCCAACCGTTGCGTCACCTCCAGAGGGTGAGCCGCGAAACGACGATCCAGGCCATGCAAGCAATCAATTCTCGGGGACATTTCCCCAACGGTCCTCATCACAGACTACTGGCTCGTTGAAACCCGAATCCACGCCAAAGACACCCGAAGTCGTTGTGGAAGATTCACTTGGTCCCCAAGCCGGTAGACATTCAACGCCGGTAACCGCGGTAGGACCACCCCCCCGCCGGTGCAAGAGCAGCTCCATGTCCGAGCAATCTCGATGCCAACCGTTGCGTCACCTCCAGAGGGTGAGCCGCGAAACGACGATCCAGGCCATGCAAGCAATCAATTCTCGGGGACATTTCCCCAACGGTCCTCATCACAGACTACTGGCTCGTTGAAACCCGAATCCACGCCAAAGACACCCGAAGTCGTTGTGGAAGATTCACTTGGTCCCCAAGCCGGTAGACATTCAACGCCGGTAACAAATAACTATCCCCTTCAAAAACAAAACCAGCAGGCTCAGTACTCATCGAAACCTCTCCCGCCTTCACAGCAACCGTCGTATAATGACAAATTCGCATCACCATCATCGTCTCTTCTCACCGGCGACGCATCACGAACTGACAACCTCACTGTTATCCCAACATTCAGCCAAATTGACAAGAAGTCCGACAAACGATCAAAAAAAGACAGGGACGACGATGCTTCCAGCACATCAAGCAAATCGGGAAGTGCATGGAAATGGTTCAAGGGTGTTACTGACGACAAGGATAAGAAAAAAGAGGAGAATAAACGGGCAAAGGCCAAGGCGCTTGCTGAAAAATCGTCTGACAAAACGTCTGACAATGCTAGGCTTGATGTTATTCAGAGCTCAATTGACAAGACGCCCGCGAAGGGACGTGAAAGTCTGGTCCTGGATAGGGACAACGTTGACAACAAGTTGTTGGAGGAGCGGAAAAAAGAAAGCCACCGAAAAAGCGACTCCAAGAAAGACAAGGATGGTAACATTTTCTCCTCGATTTTCGGCGGTAGCAAACGGAAAGAAGAGAAGGAAAAGTCTGGCAAAAAGAGCCAGCACCTCCAAGTTCCTGAGGAGCCGGTTTACAAGCCTTTGCAGCCCGACGTGGATTACAACTGGACACGTTTCCCGTTGTTGGAGGAGAGAGCTATCTATCGAATGGCTCATATCAAACTGGCCAATCCTCGTCGACCGCTTCTCAGCCAAGTGCTGCTCAGTAATTTCATGTACAGCTATCTGGCCATTGTCCAGGCTATGCATCCTCAAATGAACGTACCGACATCTCCGCAACAGAAGCGACTCGAAGAGGAGGCTCGGCGGAAGAGACAAGAGCAAGAGTATCTTGCACAACAGCAAATGGATGACGAGGATGCTGACAATAGCTTGGAGCAATACAATTTTGACTATCACAGAGTAAGGCTTTGATCTTTTACCTTAGAGAATATCCATGCGCTGACGCATAATCTAGGCTGCTGTCCAGTATGCTGAGTCTGGATCTGAGAGCCAAGTGGATTATGTTGATGAAGCTCAAATTTACGAAGATGAGCACGGAAGTGATAACCAAGAAGATTACAGCTATGACAACCAAGACGGATATGGCCACAGTGTCAAGGATTACTACCAATATCAAGGTGGTGATTCAGACCACCGGCATCATGGTGGCAACAGTATGTGGTGAAACCAATCAAATGGCTCCAATTACCCCATTTACTTACAGTATCTTTCCTTGTTCTTCAAAGACTTTATATGATCGTCTGTGACATCACCTTTCCAAATTTCCTTCCACAGAAATGAAACGAACCGAACCGATAAGCCGAAGCAAATCAACACCATTGACAAGGGTCACATACAACAGCTGTATACAAAGTTACAGAATTTTCTAGCATTCGACGGAGTTTTATTTTTGGGAGGTTCAGCGTGCTTGCAAATTAAAGAGTCAAAATTTTCCACTTCTGGGCTTTGCAACGAGGAGAATCACAAGTCTCCCGGGTTAATGCTTTGGGTTGACTTCAACACAACACACACACACACATAGAGCGAAGGCGAAGGTTTAGAGGGTGGGCGCAAATAACGAGTCTATATTATGCATGTCTATTTTACTTTGTGTACTTTACTTTCTTTGTGCTTCAAGTCGAACCACCCTCGACAAGGCCGGCCGTCCACATGTGGCACGTGGCTGTGGATATTTACTCTTTTTGTTCTTCCCACTCATATTCTTCTTCACCTCCTTCTTGGTTGATGTATGATTTGGCGAGAATAGCCTGCTGGATGCGGTTATGTCGTTCAGTCTCCCCTTCCTTCGTGAAGTCGAGACAGTGCGTGGAAAGTGACGCGTGAAAGGGTTTGGGTTGCTCAATGAGAATATAGACTGATGCAGGATATGGCATAATACAAGGACTGGCCTTGGTCGTTGTCAAAGTTGACACTATAAGCTTCTTTGTCCTTGTTAAACATGTGTTTTTCGGCACTGACTTGGGGATGATCGCTACTATATGATGAGTTAATTGGCCCCGCTGTAAATGCTGCACTGACACGTACAATGGGGCCAGAGCATGGCGGATATGCTTTGATATGAAATACCAAGTGGAGGTAGCATGTGCTAACGTTGAATAATCATCACAAAGCACCAGTCAAGCTTGATTTAGTCGAAATTGCCGGTAATACATGCCAATAATGGCAAATTCCTCATTGAGAACAAAGAAAAATCATGTACAGTACAAGGGGTTTCCATTTCCATGCCTTCCCTTCGCTAAGCCCGCTCTCTATTTCTTGGGTTCCTCTTTTTTCTCCTCTGGCTTAGGCGTAGGCAGCTTGAAAGTATCCGGTCTACGATCCTCACCAGGACCAACCATTTCCCATGCACTAGAGCCACCTTCAAAGTTACGGAACGCCTGCGTAAGTTCAAGGGGTTCGGTAACAATTCGCTTCTTCTCCTCGTCATACCGGATCTCAGTGTAGCCCGTTAGGGGGAAGTCTTTGCGAAGCGGGTGACCTTCAAAACCGTAATCGGTCATGATGCGTCGCAGATCAGGATGGCCGGCAAAAAAGACGCCAAAGAGATCGTAGACCTCGCGCTCATACCAGTTGGCTCCGTCGTAGAGGCTGGTGACACTGGGGACAGGAGAGGCCTCATCGGCGTAGGTCTTGACACGGATGCGGGAGTTGTGGCGGACGGAAAGGAGGTTGTACACTACTTCGAAGCGCTTGTCGCGGGTGGGGAAGTCGCATGCGGTGATGGTGCTCATTTGTGTGAATTCAGCAGAGGTGTTGTCTATATTGTTTGTAGCGATTAGCGAAGACCGTCCACGTCATTGAAGCAACCCGATTTAGCGGAAAGCAATATATCGCAATAAACGTACACTTCAAGAACGTGAAGACGGGGATGACACCCGAGGGCGAAATGTAAATGGTAAGCTCATCCTTCCAGACAGAAAACTGCTGTATATATTTGGGCAGACAGCCCATCAGCCACGATCCGTATCGGTGCATGTTGTCCGACTTGCTCTGGTACTTGTCGGCTGGATTGACAAGAGGCGCCTTGAGAACCCCAATCTGATCCCGAGGGGCCTTTCGCAAGTTCTCAGCCTCCTTGGGCAGGTTGACGAGCTGAGCGACCGACACAGAAAAGGCGCGGACGCCCTGTCCACTGACGGCCGCTGAAGGCCGTAGAGCCGAGACGAGTGTCCGGCTTCGAGGCATTTTTGTCGCCATGGCCGAATTGTATGCCTAATTAGAGGCCAGTTGACACTGCGAATTCCAAGGCGGACCGTAGAGGAGGATTGGTGGTGGTTGTGGTGGGCTCTCCCGGGGATGGTCCTCAAGTTCGGGATCATCTGGAGATGGGAACGAACTGCTACAGCATAAAAGTGTCCGAGGATTTGCCGGGGATAGAATGTAGCTCGTTGACAAAAGGCAAATCTGGGCCCTGCCATTGGGTACTTCGCACATCCGGCCTGCTGACAAAGGAGCTCATATCACGTGAGGCAATCTTGAGCACTAAACCGTTTTAGGACTAATGCATAGTGAACTTTCTCTTCCAAAGCTTTCCGGATGGATCATTATCCTGCCCAAATGCCCTCCTTGTCCTGCATACCCTTTACATACCAACGCCTTAATATTCACTCTCCTCCCCTCTTCTTTGATATTTACATAGCACGTTACAGAAAGACACAATGGCACCGCAAGATTCCTTCATAGAAGAGGAAGAAGATGTCTGGTAAGTCTCATCTCGTCCTGGATCTCCAGACGCATACGCGCCTAGCCGCACTGCGCTCCCTCAAGTGTTCGCGTGTCAGGCACCACCCAACTTTTGCACAAGCTTACGACGTTGTGAACAACAGCCCTCTGTGCATCGAGGAGTTCGATCTATCAGATCGGAACTTTCGACCGTGTCCTTGCGGCTACCAGGTTCGTCCATTTACCTTTCCCTTCAGCGGCTCGACGCCCTGGTCGGTCTTGAAACTAACAGTGCCCTGCAGGTCTGCCAGTTCTGCTTCAATAATATAAAGAACAACATGAACGGCCTGTGTCCGGCTTGCAGACGGCCGTACGATGAGAAGACGATAGAATGGAAGGTCGTTACTCAGGAAGAGTGAGTGCCCTCTCCATATCCCATTTTGCCAAAACCTAGTCTACCTGACGTGTGTACGAGCGTGAAGTTATGTTAACATGCTTTTTAGAGTTGCCGAGTTTCGCGCCAACATTCAGAAAAACCAAAAGAAGCGAGCACAGGAGCAACGACAAAAAGAAGTGCAAAAACGCGAAGCCGAAAAGGAGAACCGTAAAAACCTCGTCGGCGTCCGAGTCGTTCAGAAGAACCTAGTCTATATAACCGGACTAGCACCAACGGTCCGTGAAGATGAATTGCTCAAGACTCTACGAAAACCCGAATTTTTCGGTCAGTATGGCAATATTCAGAAAATATCCATAAGCAACCGCAAAAGTCCAGATGGGCAACATCATTCACTCGGCATCTACGTAACGTTCGAAAAGCCCGAGGAAGCAACAAAATGCATCATAGCAGTACACGGCTCTCAGAATGGCGACCGGATATTAAAAGCTCAACATGGTACGACCAAGTACTGCTCTGCCTGGTTGAAGAACGAAAAGTGTAATAATCCTGGTTGCATGTTCCTTCACGAGCAAGGAGATGAGGAGGATAGCTACACTCGGCAAGATCTCTCATCTATGAACAGTATCCATACACAAAGGCCATTGCCAGGTGGTGGCGGAGGCTCATCTCGCGCAGTTTCCCGACAACATATTTCGCACCCAACCCCACCTCCACCTGCTTCGCAACCGATGGTGCGTACCACTAGTAGAGATGGGTCTGACAATGGCGTTGATTCATCTGCACTGCCGTCGTCTGCAAACTGGGCTAGAAATCCTCAGCGCAGTCGGAGAGGCAGTTACGCCACTAGCGGTGCAGCGTCCAGTCCAGCTATTTCCATGTCGCTACCAGCAACAACGGAGGCTACCCAGGAGGCTATAGACGACGCTGATGCCTCATCTGCGCAGCAGCCTGTGGCGAACAAAGGCAAACAACCACACGGGACGCAGGCTCAAACTTCCACCCCCTCTCAGGAGAAGAAGGAGCAGCGGTCGTCCAAAACAACAGACAGTGCTCTCGTTGCTCTATTAAAGACCCTGGAAGTCTGCAAGCTGCCAGTCTTCACTACCGCTAATGCCAGTGATGATACTCATCCACCCATGTTTGACATCCGAGGCGGTGAGAAGCGAAGGGCTATGAGGGAGGACGAAGAGTCTCGAATCGACCAGGAAGACCAGACTGAAGCACAGGCACCATCTGAAGGCGAACCCGAAACTGGGGGCAGTCTTGCTCTTGGCGGCGAACCTGAGGACCGAGAGCTCGGCAGGGATGTCCACGGTTTTGATCAACGACAGTCTAGTACCCAACCTCCGATTCAGCGTGGGAGCACAGACGGGCTCTATGGCGCACCATCGAGTGGCTCCGGCTTTCCTCAGGGCTCTAGTAATATTGGGAGAGTCATGACACCGCAACAGCTGGCGTCACTTCGATTACAAGCTGGCTATACGGACCAAATGCCGCCTGGTATTTCTGCTCAGAACCCGTTTCAAAATCCGGGCCATAACCGCCAATCCTCTCGATTCAGCTTCGCCAACGATGCTGGGAACTCTACTACCAATATCAAACTGGCTGCTAACCCGAGGATCATGGCTCAGCAGTCGTCTATGATGCCCAGCTCTTTCCAGTCACAGTCGAGCAACCAGTTCTATGCCACATCCATGCCTGGCCCTCCGCCTGGTCTTAAGTCTACAGGCACACCGCCGAGTATGTTTGGTCAGGGTTTCGGCACCGGCTCAGGATTTGGCGGAGCTCACAAGGATTCCTCTGGCGATTTACTCCAAACTCTCATCGGCCGCAATCGAGGAGGCAGCACCCAGCCTCAAGATGTTGGAAAGCGTGAGTACATGATTTCTTCTTTCTCAAACCAGTATCCACTACCCTCTACCTCCACCCCAGCTCCTGCTTCTGGCCTCCTGGCATCGCTCTACGGCAACCATCCTGGAGCATTCCAAGACTTTGGTTCGAAGCAGAAGAAGAAGGGCAAGAAGCACAGACATGCTAACACTTCCTCCTCAGGGGGGAGTGGCTTAGTAGATCTTGCCGACCCGAGTATCCTGCAGGCAAGAATGCAGCATCAGTCACAGAGCAATGCCGGAGTTGCCGGGCAACAAGGACTGTTCGGTGGTGGTCAGAGCCAAGGTGGGTACAATCCTAACATGATGTATAACACCGGCTACGGGCGTTGGTAGTCGAAAAAACAGGACTACACAGTATGGGGCCATGGTTTATGTCTTTTTCTCCCCTTTAACTACCTTTGACTTTCATATTTTGAAACGAGCCAATTCTTCTGTTTTCGCTCCTCATGTACTTCTCAAGTTGGCTTTGGCGTTTCATTAGCATGTTACGGTATAACCACCGGGAAATGGGGGCTGCATCTGCTCCAAGGAGCACAAAGATATGCATATCTTTTTGTTTTGATCAAGCAGGCATTTGCGTGGTCGCCGCAAGTATCCCCTACACAGGGTGAGCGGCAGGTTTTTGCACAGGGCGTCAGCCCTTTTTCTTGGTTTATCTGGGATCAGAATGGCGCAGAGAGGTGACACAGTATCGACCTCAATAATGTTTTTTTAAGTCTTTTTTTGGGTTGCTCTAGGCCTGCCTCGCGTCGGTTACAGGCTTGTTGCATTAGAATGAAATTGGAGGGTTACGTCAGGCAAGCCATCATCGTCTTCCACAAAGCACACATTACACCCCTTCTATGTACGTTAACAGCTCACATTATGGTGCAACGCCCCCAGAGGGTAGCATCTTTGGTCAGAATATAACGATATTGTCTATTCTCTCCAACTCTGCCTTTCCCTTCATTGTCCCCCTGTGGAAGACGATGATGGAAGCCGTAGGATGATCTGCAACTGTTTGTTTGTCTTTCATGTACCAAAAACCTGGCCTCGTATTGTAGACTCAGCCGGTGTTGACTGTATTGCGTAAGAAGAAGTTCATTTTGGCATCATGCTAACATTTATGCTGTTTAGAGGACGAGCTACTTTCGTTAGACGAAGCAACAAGTTCGGTCGATGCCCTGGTTTCCGATGAACCACAAGGAGTCTACGCTGGATCAGGGTTCGGCTTTGATATGGGAATGACGCGGTCTGCACCTCCTGGGTTTGCCATCCACCCAGAAATGGTAAATGCTCCCATGTCAGCGATGGCGTCCCCGGCGTTGAGCCAACATCGCCAAGCTGAAGCCGTACCTACATTGTCCACGGCACCTCCACCTGGTTTGGAGCATGGTACTGTTACGCCGGTTCAGACTCCACGAAAGGTGACTGCTCCTGGTTTGGAGGCGACAAGCAATAGCAGGCCGTCTACGTCTGAAGCTAGGGTATCGAAGCACATGACGTCGCAGCCTCAGTTTGAACAACAGTCAGTATCGTCACCCTTAGGAGATGAGGACTTCCCTGCCTTGGGGTCGTCACAATCCATCAAGGCTCGAACTCAGTCCCCGGCTACTCCAGTCGTTCCAACCCCCAAACCCACCCCAGCGGCAAAGAAGAGAGCCAACGGAATGGTTGACAAGGCAGCTAGCAGCCATGATCACCCTGCCTCCATGGTGTCGGACTCTATCAAGAACAGACCCTCCACTATCAGTATCCAGCCGCCGTCGGACAAATCTGTCGCAAGCCATGATCTTCAAGGCACGGATAAGCCGCTTGAAGATTCATCGACCTTTCCTCCTCTACCAACGGCCACAGCTAGCTTTCCCTCGCCAGTCCATCGCAGCGGAACCCGAACACTGCGACTTATGCCAACTCCCAGGGCTACAGAGTCTCCTGCACTGCCCTCCCCCGTACAGTCGGTGGCTTCCAAGGCTGTCTCTATCTCGCATAGACCAGACACCCCAGGAAGCGAGATGATTAGTGACACAGCTTCCATAATGTCTGCCTCCATATCGGCATCCCGTGCAGGATCGCCTCCGCCAAGCAAAGTTGGTTCTGCCGCCGTGCGAACTACTACAAAAAGCCAGCAACGCAAGCAGCGAAAGGAGGCTCTCAAGCAGGAGACCAGGATTATAGCCGAGGCATCAAAACCAGAGCCTGAGGAGCATGCACCAGTCATTGGCCGCAAGAAGAAACAAAAGAAAGAGAAGCCCGCAAAAGCGACAGTTTCTCGGGAAATACCAACCCCTCCAACCGCTTCAGCCCCTGAGTCTTCGAAGACCGAGTCAGAGGTGCCTGTACAACCTGAATCTACGAATGCTAAGGTTGTTGAAGAGACAGATTTTAAAAGCAGGACGATGCAGAAAAGAGCAGCTAAGAATAAAGAGAAGGAAATGGACATGGAAAAGGGCCAAGCAAAGCCAACTCCTACGCCAGCATCACCACCAGCAGTACCGTCAAAGCTGGCGGAGCCTGGCAACTCGGTGCCCGCTGAGCCCATTGAGTCGTCAGATCCGGCTGACAGACAGCAGTTTGGGCCAGCCTCTGTGTTTCAAGAGATCAAGAGCTCACTCTGGACTTCGGCTCTGGACAAGCTGCTGCTGCTCAGACCGGTCAGCAGCAGCTCGCCACGTGCTGATCTTAGTCAGGCTGCCAATGGCGCAAGCCAGTCAGTGTATTGCAAGGACTATGCCTGCAAATGTGGCGAGATCCAAGATGATGACCTCACAGCGCTTCGAGCAGGCAAGCCGGTTCGTAAACAATTCCATGTTGATGGCAGCAGGATGCTCATCACACCCAACGGGGATTGCATCCGCGGCTTGACGCCCGAGCAAGAAGATGCCTTCCTCGACCTGCAAGCCGCCATCGCCAGTACGGCCGATAATCCAGGTGCCTTTGTTGCCCCCAGACATCAGCCAGGTAGCGGAGCCTTTTCTCTCATCAAGGGGCGCGCGGTTCCGAATGGCCGTCCCAACATCTTTCCTGCCACAGCGCAGCCCCAGTCCCAGGATCCTATTGGCAAACTACAGCGAGAAGATGCCCTCAGCTACATCAATCAGTATGTCCTGCCACGCCTTAACCTGGATGCTGCAAACATGGGCTTCCCCAAGGGAGCATCTCCACTTCGTGATGCCGCGGCAGCTAGTCTCAACGCCCTGGCTCCCTACTTTTATGGCCCAGATGCGGCTGCTGGCGTGGGTATCTATAGTGCCCCTGACGGCGCGCGCGCCATGCAAGACTTTTCCTCGTCCGGCGGCGCACCGGCTGCTGATGCCAGCAAAATCGGTCCTGCCAATGGTCTTGGTGGCATTTCTCTGATGAGTGTTGAGGATGCAGAGGTCCGTTTGGCAGCTTCTCGAAAGGAGACGGAGAAGTTGGAGAGGGGCCTGAATGCTGTGATTAAGCGGAACAGAAGGCTTCTCCTTGGTGGTGGTAACTGATTTGTCGGGAATCAGTCAACAACACAGCGTATAATCCGAGCATCAAACTTGTACACATTTACCTGCATTGCTATGTCTCTATTTGGAGAATATTGTACACGAAAGAACTAGCATCTTAGCGTTTTTTTCTTCTTCTTTTCAACAGCGGGCTATACAATATTGCATTCCCAGACATGAAGACAGGCGTTTTCTTTACAGGATGTTTGCTTTGCATATTTTGTACGATAGTGCCAGATGCAGCCATGTACTGATAAAGGATCTGCAGAATACAAAAGATACCTAGGTACATATGCTACTAGACATATTTGTTAATACATGCTTTCAAGCAACGTGGCGATATATCATATGCCGTCCGTCGTAAAACTCCATAGCTAGTCTTCAAATGTGTGAGCTTGATGACAACCAAGTGCTTTCCTTCAACTCCAGGTTCAAAATCATAGGGTATCTAGTCCAATTCCTCCCAAAACGCCTGTTTCCCAACGCAAATACATTCATGGCGTATTGGCATCGTCTTCGTCAATTTTGGTTTCCCAAAGGGACTCTTCAAGTCTTTCCATCAATTTATCTAGAATCCATTCACTTTCTTCCTGTCCACCCATGAGAGGACTACGATTACCTACCCAAGACCATTGGAGACGGGAGTCAGCATCAGGAAGTTGGGCTGGGGTTGGTGCTACGAGCTGCAAAGACGGCCGTGGGGCTGCAATTGTCTCGGCATCTTCATCCTGAGGTGGACCATGGCCTTCAGCCGCCTTGTCGCGATGATGATTATGGTGTTTGTGTTTGTGTCTTCTGGTCCGTCTGTGTTTCACCTTAGGAACCACTTTTCGGTGATTCAACGGGTCCCGTTCGTCCTCTCCTATTAGGGCCAGATACCATGCCCACTCTTCAAACGTGTATCGCCGCGGCTCAGGCTCTCTAAGGTGCTGGGACACAGTCTGAATTTCCTTGACGAGTAGTAGATGTAGCTCCGTGCCAATAGGTAGGTCGTCGAGAAGATCTTGTACTTGTGCTAAAGAAGGCCGGCCTGCGGGAGTTTCGGTATTTTTGCAAAGTTTGTGTTTTCCTTGACGTTCCTCATTGTCCACTTGGTGTCCGTGAGAAGCCGAGCCACCACTGTGGCTGGATTCGTTTTGTTGTTTTTCTGTGTCTTTAACATCTTTGGGGTCGAAACCCGTCAAGTCTTCCGCCTTTTTATGTATTATCTTTTCCCTTTCGTGCTCCCGAATCGTAATGGTTGCACTGCGGAAGAGACGGCCAAACGAAACACGATTGGCAACATATTTTGCATTCCCCGTGAAGCCTTCTTCGCCGGGCAGGATTGTAATGTTGCCAATACGAATTGTTGCGTCCGTTACAAATTTGACAACCGTGTCTCCCGCGTTGGAAATAAGAAGCGTCATGGTGGGCAATGCTAATAGTGACCAGAAAACGAAGAATGACTTGCCGGCGTTCGAGTTCGGCGTACGATCTCCATAACCAATAGTCATTAGCGAAATGAAGCAGAAATAGAAGCCATCAAAATAGTTCCACTGTTGATATGGCTCTTCAGCACTGACAAAAATAACGGCACCAACGAGCCACAACAAAATCCACACGCCGGTAGATGTTGCCATTGCCATCCATTTTCTACGGATTGAGGCCTGTTGTTGGATCTTTCGCATCAGTAGGAATTCGGTTTTTCTGCGGTCGAATTCATTTTGTGGCAAACCAGCATTTTCCGGACCCCAGTTTGAGACTGTATCATCGTCAATCGGGCTCAGGATTTCATCGTGGCCACTTTTTGTCATTGCGCGAATGAATCTTCTCCGATTCTTCTCCTCCATCCGAGCATCCAGTCGACGCCTTCCACGTTCGAGTATCATGCTTCGAATGGAGCTAATCACGAGACCAAGGCTGATAACCCCGATGAGAGCGTATGGGATGAGCAGCGCGCATCCCAGTGTCGTATTCGCGGCAAAGTCTCCAAAACCAACAGTGAAGAGCGTCACGTCGGCCCAGTAAACAGCATCTAGGTATCTCCAGTTCTCGATTTTCGAAAAGATCAGGGCTCCAAGGAGAAGGTACATCAGAAAGAGGATAGTCTGGAGCATTAGGGTACGTTGGCTACGAGTAAGGTTGAAGTCCTTAGGGTAATGACCTGATGAGGCTCCCCAAAACGTCACGACCATCAGTGAGGCATCAACAAAGTACAGAATGGCCGCCCATATGCCGTAATAGAAAGCTTGTGACCAGATGTACTCCTGTGGTGGGTCGAGATTGTACTTGAGAGGACCGGCAGCGGTGGCATTGAGGGATAAAAGACATATGGCAGAGATGTACCTATTTATAACAAACCAGGTCAGCGTGAAATGGCGGAGTTGCGGCAGAGACAGGTAGCTGTTGTGGACGTACCATCCAATGATTGTGATAGGTTGAGCAATACTAAAGCGAACTCTCTTAGTCATATTCAACAAAAGAAAAGCGTTTGAGACCAAGGCCACGGCTAGCTGGATGGCATTCACAATGGTGAGCCTATATAGCAGGGACGTTATTAGCTGACCGAGACATTTGTTTACCAGTCTCGAAACACAGGCCAAGTTCCAAATTAGGTTTTGGAGTCAAAGTTGCACGTACCAAGCAGGGTCCTGTATAAATACAGCATCATCAACATTCTGGCCAGGGACCAGTTTTTGACGCCATTGAGATCCCAAGGCGCAGATACTGAAAGCCGAGGCGACAGGGCCAAGAGTAGCTGCAATCATGGGAAATGCAGAGGAAGCAAACCACCATCGACTAAGGCGGACGCTGTGTGAGCGGGTGTGCGGTGCACAATGAATGAGATGTGCCAGATATTGACAGGAACTCACCTAGGAACAAGATGTGCCAAGTCATTTTGGAAACGTGCCTCGCGAGAGCGTTTGTGCTGCAGTTGTTGGCGTGATATCTGCTTGCTGAGATTATTATCCGCGGCTGAAGCATGATGCTCAATGGCTTTCCCATGCTGGCCGTCATCCATGGCAAGGGAATTTGAGTGCCAGGACACTGACCGGGACTCTCTGGTTCAACGGAGTCGGGCCTCGTAGGCTGGTTTGTCTATCCAGGTACGTTGGAGAGACGAAGCTGTAGGTTGGTGATGCTGCAGGCATGACAGGTGTCGAGGAGAAGAGAGAGAGTACCAAGCAGGTCAAGTTAGGTCAGGGATAAAGGTTCTCAGAAGGTTGAAGGTTTCGGGATTTCGGAGTTTCGGTTGGGCCCAGAAAACGGCTTTAGAATACTGGTACGGAGTTTTGAGTCGGATATGCCTGCGAGGAAATGGTTCATTGGTATGGAAATAAGGATACAAGAGTGGAAGGGAGGGAGGGAGGAGGAAACGAGATGGCCCCGTCAATCTTGAGGTCTGAGTCTTTGGGCAAAAGGGATTGAGTGGCGGCCTAGACTGGCGTTCTCGGCCATGCAGTCTCCACGGAGTGCGATGTTGAGGGAAAGCAGCAGGCGCCATTGACGTCGTTCCTGCTTGTTGTATCTGATTCGCCACATGCCCACGGTAGCCATCGAACAAGCAATTCCTGGCGGCTTGGCAGTTGCACTCCAGCGATCTCCACAGGGCCGTGTGCTCATGTGGATCTACCCGTGCCCTACCAGAATTGTTTGGGTAACTACCACCTGACCAGCAGCACCACCAAGCACCGACATCGACACACGCAGCATCGTACATATGCTGTAGTCCCGACGCCAAACCCCGCGTATCAACACTGGCCAGCATGCCAGCCATTGCATTGGCCATCGAAAACTTGGATTTCGAGGTCGACTCGTGGTAAGTGCCATTGACATCTGAAAAGCAAATCCAATCCCGTTATTGCGTCACCGACACCAATCCCCAGGTACTTTGAGCATTTGGGCGTGGCATGGTACCAAGGTTCAACATCAAGAGCTGACATGTGCGGTAGCCATCGTAGGGGCTTTTGCAAATCTCCAACCTCATTGCAGGGGCCATTCTACGTGTTCATCGTACATTGGCAGGTTGTTCGTCCTTGGCTGCTGCGTCACCATGCGCCTGTGCCGCCGGCTGCTTCGAGTCGACGTCCTTGGCTTCTCCCCAAGATCCTTTAGCAGCGCGGCACCGGAGAGAGTAGAGATACGATGCGGTTCTGCAGGGCATGTCACCATCGAGTAGGTCACCCTACAGTAGCTGTATTGATGTTTGAGATGCCACCCACGAAATGCTTACAAGTGTCCAGCCTATTCAACGTGTCTGGAAATTCTGCAACTGAGCCCTTAATAATACACATGCCTCCATTCCCCCAACCTGATGGCTCGGCATCCAAACTACCACCATTTCTTCGAAACCGACCAGTTGCCAGTATAAATTACAGATGGAGACCCTTCTCAGAGCCCTCGTCAGAAGTCACAATCGTAAATAAAGTCTTCAGCCCGTTATATTGGCCGACCCCGGTCCACGACACCTCGTTTGCCTTTGCATGGCTCATTGAGAATTTTCTGCCGCCAGCTCAAAACAGGCGCAACATTTACATTTACGGATCATACCTTGGCGCCAGCTTAGCCGCGTCCCTAGCTCTCACAGAGGCCCACGCACACGCGAGATTCGGCGTCAGAGGCCTCATTGCGTACAACGGGATATACAATTGGACCATGTTCCTCCCCGACCACCGTATTAACAGGCCACCCAAAAGGTCCAAGACAACAACAGCTCCCCCAGGGCCCCAAGAAGGGTCGCAATTACACAGGCTGCAAGAACAAATGCCCGCCTTGTTTGACATGCCGTCAAACCTATTTGATCCGTTTGCGAGCCCAAGCTTGTTCTTTCACAGTCCAGGCTTAATTGTGCCGCAATCATTCTTCATGACAGTAGAACATTCAGCCCTCATTGACAACATGACGAGCGATGAGGAAATTACACCAAAACCCATGAAATCGCCAAGAAAATCCCACCTAGTTTTCCCACCAAGGCAGTCGACGCTCAAAATTCCCGATACTCTTCTCTTGTTTGACTCGGCTCCACTGCCCATCCCGAAGCTATCTACCAAACCAAAGAGTGCACGACCAAGGAAACGTGCAAAGCCAAAAGGCCACAGTTTTGAGGCCCAGGCAGTAGAGTTGGCCGAATTAATGAGACGAAGTGTCAACGTTGTGGAAATGAAGGAGCGGAGTAAGTGGGATGAAGACGTGCATAGCCGCGTCGATGAAGCAATTAGACGAGTGCAGTTAGCTGATGTAGGACTGGAAAGAGACAGCATAGACCTCAGCGATGCGGGATGCGACGCTGCAACGACTTGGCTGGAAAATAGATAATTCCACTTTACCGTTACCATGGCATAATGCGCACGCACCCATATACATGTCAGGTAGGTATTGCAGAGCGTGGTGATGCAACCAGCACGAGGCCTGCCAAATAAGATAATCCAAAAACCATTGGTCAAGCCCTGCCAGTCTCGCAAGTGGCAGGCGATAGGAACGAAGCCATCCACCAACTCCTGGGATGCTGAGGTAAATGGAACGCTAATAATGCTACATTTGCCCAAATTGGAAGTAACTATCGTCACTGTTCCTGGTAACTAACTTACGTCTATCACATCACCAACCATCCATTCTCACAACTGCCTCAAGGCACCAATGCCATCCATCATGTTGGCATAGTTTATGATGAAGTAGGAATTAGACAGCGATACCATCAAGCCGTCTGAGAACCTTACTGGTTGGTTACTGCTAGGTATTAATGAAGCAGTGACTGGTACGGAGCAGCGTGTATTGGCTGACCCTGAAACAAGCTGCACATAACTACCAAAGACCCCGATAGGGCCGGGACCCGCGTCGGCCCCACCCAGACAAACACCCGCAAAAAGTGGCCATAACCTACTAGCCACCACCAACTGCAAGTTGCTCTAGGTTAGGAAATGACAAAAAGCGACAAAAAAATTGAAGTGGGTCTGACCGGGGATTGAACCCGGGACCTCTTGCAGTTTGTAAGGATACTATATAGGAATAAGAAATCCCAAAGCAAGAATCATACCACTAGACCATCAGACCGCTTGTTGGAAGTAGGTAGACCTAAACTAATATACAAAGTGTTCTCCTCCGCTTAATACCCGGGGTCGGGGGATAGCCAGCACCATTTAGCCAAGTCGTTGCTTCTTGAGAAGAAAGACCGAAATAAGCTTCTCAGGTAGTGGTGGAATAAATGAAGTAGCTTGGCCATGTCTTGAGTTTGGGTCAACGGAAGAGCCACCATGGGTCTTTGTAAGGAGTGCCCAGTGGTGCAACACGACTCTCTTCATCGCAAAGCCGAAGCGGGCATTGCATCGGTACCTCGCCCAGCAACAGACTAGGGGGTTCTCTTAATGGTGTTGACCCAACACCTCAATCAAAAACCCGTTTCCAGTGGTCCTCAGCAAACGTTTTCTGTGTGAGCCTCATTCCCCTTCGCCAGCAGCGGTGTCCAGCGTGTTCGTTGGCTCCACGGGCTCGGCGATTAGAGGGGCGTTTGCCAGCATCTTCGAACCAAGACATCATAAGAAACGAGGAAGAGAACGAAAGGCTCATTTTTCATTAATTCCACGAGAATTATGCTTCAGGGACTGTTATCAGAGGAGGAGCTGGCTTTTGCGTAACTGCTAGCCATCGTCGCGCAACTTTTATGAGGCAAGGGCTATCTACGAGGGAAGGAGCAGAGCATCGCCAATGTCGACAAATAAATTTCATAAGTTTAAAATATGCGCAATGGGCCGACCGATACAATCCTTACGATCTGACGGCTGCCGAAATTTAATACAGGATTCTCTTCTGGGAATTTTTTGGACATCTTTATTACCCAAGAGGTTGATGGCTTATACAAGTCTTCGGGAGACTCGGCGTCGCCTCGCTGAAATTGCAATTCAGGTGACCTTTAAGTTTATCAGCATTTATTGCAATTATTGACCACTTCCCTCACTGTCTCTCTGCCACTGAAGAAAAAGTTGCACCAAATTACTGACTGTTTATTGCGAATAGTCCCCCCTTTTTTCCGTTTACTGACCGATCGATCAAGCTCGGAGATGTTGTACGGTGCTGTTGATCTTGACCATAGGTAGGACTCCCTCAGCCTTTGCCGTTCCAGCTGGTCGAGTCTATCGAGAGCGCACAACAGTTGCTATGGCACGAACGACACGTCATGGGCCACGCAATAGAATCGTTGTCTGAGATATTCTCGGCTACCGCCATAATGATGATGATATATATATTGATTAACTTTCATCAATAGCGCTTAGCCGCCCAATCACGGGTTCATGTACTACACTTGTGTGAGTATATAGCCTCTCATCCTCTATAACGTGGTCTTTGGTTGTCCCTAGGCATAGTTCTGAGTGTCACCATCACTTGCGTTGGATAATCGGGAAGGTATAGTCTTATCTTCGCCAAGCTTTCGGATAGACTGGTGTGGGAAACAATAGACATGGGGAGGAGAGAAACTAAGGCTCGCTAAGTGTGAGGTAAGAAGTAGGGAACTCGACTTATGAATGCCCGACCCTGGGTTGAACATGGCCACAAGTGTCGACTTGGTGACTGGATGCAGCATGTCGATGCAGACTAGACAGGCGGCTGGCGGCCTCTTGTCTTAGTGAACACACACCAAGACTTGGGCAGCGGGAATAGGACCTGTCTTGTCATACTGAAACAAAGAGCTTCAGCAAACTGACAATTTATTAGTTAGTGATGCTCCCTCTCCAGACATCGAGGCCGCCCGGCCCACCAGCCATGCAGCAGTACATACACCAATAGCAGTACTGGGAGCAAGGCACAAGGCACCTCCAAGCTTGACGGCTAATTTGGTAATTTGGTGCATTGAAACAGCTGTCTTTGGGCGGTGGAGCGCCCGTCCAAGGTTGTCGAAAAACGTGGTAATGGCCAACCCTTGCAGTGAGCCACTGACTCGGTCAGGCATCACGTCCTGCTGGAAGATCAAGTTCGTAGCACCAAGTGCGGACGGAGTAAGGCTAGACAAAGACAAAGAGCAGGCAACCCTGCCCAGGCCTCGAAATGCGTGGCGTCACGCCGCGGTCGAGACAAGATGAAGCATCGGCCAGTCCAAGTCCATGATCTCCACTCGAGCAATACACTGCAGGGGAAAAGGAAATGAAGAGAGGACATGGTCTATTGCCACCGTCTCAAGCATGGCGTGCATACTACAAGCGACGTCGAGAGATGCAGCAGGGGCTTGTGCATGCGAATGGTGCCAATGACGCCAGGGTTCCATGGTGGACGGATGTCTAGGGATGTCCATCAACGGTGGGCTGGGTGAGACGCCAGCAATTGATTCACCATTGTTGAGCTTGAGACTGACTTGATGACCTCGGCTAGCACTGCGACGTGCAGTCTGGTGATACGGTCGCTGGTCTGGTCCACTTGAATGCTGTCAAGTCTGGGCTGATCGGTTTTGGCTCCAGTCAATACTCCGTAACGGCGCTCCACCAGTTGACCGTTCCTAGAGTCGACCCTGGTGGCATCTGGACCACACGCTTCTAATGACAGGCCATGTGCACATGCCTGAGCAGCAATGGAGCTCCCCCGGATTGGCGCCAGTCTTTCAACGTTGGCTTTGCGGTTTGTGGCTTGCAGCTTAAAGCTTGTCAAGGTATATATGTAGCTTTGCCTTATTGACGGCTTTGCAGCTTGTGCAGAGGTACCGAGTAGCAGTCCGGTCAATTGGCGGTTGACTTTAATATTGTTCACCAAGTACTACCTACTTAAGTAAACTACCTTAGGTACCTAATAGCGCGCCAAGGGGCTTTCTGGTAACTGTCCTCTAGATATCATCTATCACAAGACAGCTAAACAGAATGTTTTACTCAATACATGAGACTTCTAATAATGAGTGACAATTTAAGACCTGTCTTGTAATAGTTATGCTGTCACCAGAACCATGGGCCGCGCGCGTAGAGTAATAGGTAGGTACCTAGGTAGGTATTTGATGCTGAAGCACCACCAACCAGTCGACAACTCTGGAATCCCAGACGCCGCTGCCCCCCGAGTGTCGTTTCCATTGACCGGGTCCCCTCCTTCTTGATTGATTGTGTGCCTCCTGCTCCCTCCCTCTCTTGTCTCCTCCTGGCCTGTCTGCTTTTTTTTTTGTTCTTTTTTTTTGTTGGTTTTCCCTTTTCTGCTTTCTGCCTTATCCAACGTACTTTTCCGACTTTAACAACCAGCCCATCAATTTCTCATCAATCCCCAAGCATCGTTTCTTGCAAGGTTATCATCTTGCTTCATCTGTCGCAAGGTACCTAGGTACGTTCCCTGCACTCCTCTCATCCTACATGGCCTCAGTGTTGCCATGATTGATCGCCCTGCACGCTTTTTCAACCACATCCAGACCAGGAACCGGGCTTTTGCACATCGACCAGACCTGCTAACTTGCTACGCTACCAAGAAGACACAGCCAGACTTTTACAGGCCTTCCTCGTGATATCCATCTGATCGCTACTTTCTGACATTCAGTATGCCTGGCATTCGTACGTTTTACCCTGCCTCGTCGGGGGGCCTCTGGACACCTGCTGTGCATGCTTCGTTTTGCCACACGTTGGACTAACACTATGGTTTGTGGCAGCGTTTGGTGCTATTGACAAAGTCAAGGCTAGCCTGAAGACTCTCTTCAAGAAGAAGTCTGATTCCAAGACCCAGGCTGAAAAGCCTGCCGATACCACAGAGAGCAAGACGGAGGCCGCGAAGCCTGCTGAGCCTGTCCCTGCCACAACCACCGCCGCAACGGCTGGAGCCACTGAGACGAAGCCAGAGGCTCCAGCTCCCGCAAGTAAGCCGACCTTCTTTGCATGATTGTTTCTGGGTTTCGCGGTGTTTTTTTTTTTTTGTTCTTTTTTAGCCTGTCTGAAATACTGAAAGGTTCTAATTAGCCTCTTTTCAATTAGCTGAAGCTACACCGGCCACTGAATCTCCAAAGGAAGAGGCCAAGGCTGAACCCACCCCCCCAAAGACTGAAACTCCTGCTCCCACGACTGAAGCTACAAAGGCTGAGGAAGCTGCTCCGGGTGCGTCTATTCGTTTCCAAGTATACCCACGTCGTTCACGACAAGCTGTTAACAAAGTCTCAAGCTCCCGCTACTGCTCCTGCTACCGCCCACGAGTCCGCTACCGAGCCTACTACTGAACCAGTCAAGGACGAGCCTACTGCTACTGCTCCTGCCACCACTGCAGCATAAAGCCCGACGCGCCGCCTAGACATGATATTGTCGTTCATCACTCCAAAGCCATGCTGAAGCCTGTTTCTCGCTCCAGTTTTCGCTCGGCAGCGGGTATGATGTGATTGCCGGGTTTTTTTTTTTCATGAGGATTGTATGTCGATTTGGGGGCCTGTTGATGCTACATCAAGATGGGTTGGTTTTGTTCATTGTTCCGTTGAAGCGCTGGATACCCACGAGAGAGGAAGGCTTGCGATATACCCATGTGCATGCAACTTATACCCCACACCGTCACGGTTATCGTACTTGAGTGCGTTGTTAATTCCCTCCATTGTTTGGGTCTATCGCTATAATGGTCTAAGCAGATTTGATTCATGCTATAAGTTTCATCCAATCGCCCTTGTGTGCATAGTTTCATGACATTTTACAAGTTGCCTTGTGCCATGCAATGTGCTGCTCCAAGTCTTGAGTCTAATTTTTTTTACATGGCACTCTCCAAGTACAGATCACTCCCGTGCCCATGGCGCCTTGGTGACAGTGATTTGCGCTGCAGCAGACCCCGAACCAGGGCCCTCGCCTCGAGGCTGTCTAGATGCGAACGAACCCGTGCTAGGTCCTGTGGAAACTCTTGAGTAGGCAATTCCTGGACCGGGAGGCGGCGGCACCCTAGTCGCCTGTGCCCATGGTGCGGCCGTTCCAGTAGCAGACGGAGGTAGGGTTTCGGCGGTAGACGCTGCAGGCGCCATGGGCTGGTTCACCATATGAACACTCTGTGCCGGAACAGGAGCACTAGGATCTGGATCCCACGAAAACAATGACCCAAAGGGAAAGTGCTGCACCACGGGAAACTTGGACAGCACTTCGGCGTTGAACATTTTAATCATGCCCTTGTTGATCTTGCCCCACCCATCTCTAATGCCCGAGATATCAAACAAGATGGGAGAGTGTTCCCAAAACGGTCCCTTCTTCACGTCATTGATGAAGCCGACAGCCGAAAAATACATGTTTGTTTGGCGTAGATTCTCGACAACAGCGGGTTTGGTGACATCTCCTGGCTTGGGGGCACCCTTGACGGAGCCCTCGAGGGGCATGGGTTCGGTCACGAGCGTGATTGGGCGTGTGAATTGGGCGGATCCGAAGATGTAGGGGATGAAGGAGTGGTCGTCGAGCCCCCATACGCCATGGGAGCCAGCAGGTTCGAGAGTGTATTTGAGGATGAGGGTGCGTATGACGCGGAGGTAGCTGAGATGTTAGCTGAATATTCTGTACGGCTTAGTTGATGAACTTTGTTGATCTGGTCAAGATGCGAGAGGGAAGTTTGGAATAGTCCGAGTTTGGGTGCGGTCAAAATAGCGAGGCGGCATATAGGCCACTGTGCAAATAGCGACGAGGCAATACTTACGGCTCAATGACGTTGAGGACAATCTCTCTCTCAATGTCCCCGTCCTCCTTTCCGTCACTGAAGAATCCCAATTTCCAAAGACATCCCACGAACGCGACAAAGCTCAACTCATGGCCTGTCCCGTAGTCCAGTCTCTGTGCACTCCCAAACGCGCCCAGTAAATAAGCACTTACTTCATCCTTGGCCGTGACCCCATCCGCACCCTTGGTGGCTAAGGCTTGCCCGAGAATGCCCTTGTCCAGAAGCGAATCGAGGTTCTCTTCGACAAGGGCGTGCCATTTCCGAAAACTCACGTTTCCGAAACGTCGTGGTCCTGGGTCTGGAGGCGCTTGTTCGACGAGAGCCTCAATTTCAGATAGGAGCTGCTGGACAGCCTGTATGGAAGGCGTGGAGGATGGCGATCCTGGCACGAGGGGAAATGTTTTGGGGATGGGCGAGGAGGCTTGGTTTCGAGGGCAGAGTGCGTGGTTTAGTTGGAGGATGAAGGCGCCGATGTCTCTGTAGGCTTTGGATGTGAGGAAGCGGGCGACGTGGTGGCCTTCGTTGATGCGTTTGGTGGGCTTGATGAACCTGTGGGAGGCGAACTGTGTGGTTGGGATGATCTGTAGGGTAGGGATGGCGTGTGGAACTGGAGGCGTGGCCATGATGGGCGTGAGATTCGTGGCCGTGGTTATGATGGCTGTGTGGAGGACGGGTTCTTGATTGTTGTCTTTTCCGTAATTTGGTGGTGTTGGATTTGGGCCGGGTATATGGATATTTTCAGATGGCGATGCTATTTCGTAGATGGAGATGCTGCGGTTTGAAGTTGGGATTGGGGGTGAGTGGGTGATGTATTTTTTTTAGTCAGCCGGCTTGGCTACTTGCATAGTGGCAGGGCGCAGAATGACGAACAATCAAGTGAAATTGAATCATGGAGTAAAACAAACAGTAATATATACTGTTATGATACCAAGCCACATGTAAAGTACGAGAGAGACTACTATAGTTACATGTGTGCGTATTTCAAGACGCTGACCTCATCGCAAGACCTGCTCACAAGGTGGGGTGAATGATTGTGGGGCAGAAGCTTACCTCTACGTAGCTCCAGACGCGTCAAAGTCGCGTGTCCATTTGGCTTCCGCAAGAACCGTCGAGGGCCTTATCATGTATCAGTGACAATCGACTGTCATTCCTGGACCCAACTAATTACTAGGGCATATGGAGCACAAACGACCATCGGCAACGTCTTTTGATATTGTGTAATATGAAGCCGTCACCGTTGGGCTGAGACGATTTCCTACTCGCATCGTCAAAATGGTCAGCACGAGACGCAGTGCAGCTACCCAGGCTGCCCATGATTCAATTTATGACTTTGAATCTCCGGATAAGTCAAAGGAATTGCAAACAAGGAGACAAGGCGTAGCTAGGAAAGCCGCTCCAAATATTACGACCAGGAGAGGCTGGGAAGAGACGGAACCAGACGCGCCGGTGGTTAAGAGACGTACGCTTAAAAAGCCGGGGAGACGGCAAACTTCCAAGGCGGTGGTAGAGGATGAGCATGAGGATGACGTCCCACAGGATCCAAATTTTTACAAGAACATCAATGATAGTGCGGCGGGGAAGACGAAAGCAAGGAGAGCAACGATGGCTGTGCGCGAGGACGATGCTGCAGCCGAGGAGCAATTGCTCCAGGAAAGCCAGCAGAGAGAGGGGCACGTTCTGGCGGAAGAGGAAGAGCAGAATGATCCATGGTCTTATCGTGACTCTGCAGAACCATCGAATGATGACGACGAATCGCACGAATCACACAGGGAAGTGGATGGAGAAAAAGACGTCGATGTGGCGGGCGAGGGCGAGGACCAGGGCGAAGAAACCGAAGAGAGTGACGGAGAGGATGGCAGCAGCGACGATGATGTACGAGAGGTAACAGGTTCTGCCGTGGCCCCCGGCAGCGCTTCACAAATCAACAACCTGGAAAACATCGCCAGTATAGACGTCATTTCTACAGACATTGTGTACATTGAGCCCGAACCACCAGACAGAAGCGCGTCGACTTTTTACCTCAACTGTGATGGGCTCAATACAATGATTAACGCAATGGGCAAGCGAGGCTGGATGAGTACACCGGGCGAGTGGACAGATCAACTGCTCCGGATCGAGGAAGAGTCCAGGACTGAGTCTGAGGCCACCAAAGCTGACAATTGCACGAAGCTATTCCATGAGATCCTTGCCCTGTGGCGGAACTGCAAGGAGATGCCCAAAGCACCACTGCTGAACTTACAGGCACAGTTCCTACGTGAGCACTCTCAAAGTATTCGGAAAAACCTCAAAGTGGTACGGAGTTTGACGAGGCAAATCAAGAGCGAAGCTTCCGAAAGTATACCCATAAAAGGCAGTTCGAGACAGAAACAGGATGCGCGACGCAAACAAAAAGGCGTATTGACGAGGATACACGGGAGGCTAATGCCAGCGCTTGTGCTCGCACTAAAGGAGGCGCTATTGCTAGGAGGATATTCCAGGTTGGGGTCGAAACCAGAGACGATTAGCATCAAAGATGGGCAATTCATGGCATGCACTTTGCAATTTGCCCTTCGAATCGTCGGGTTTATCGACCAGCTGTACGGTGTGGTATTGACACATTTGAAGCCGGAAGGGGAGAATGAGAAGACAGTGAGGATGACGCAGCGCCAGACACGGATCGCATTTGCAAATCATATACGGGTGTTGAAGCCTCGCATACTGGCGGGCATGAATGAGCTGAAGCGCCTTGCCGAAACACCCATACTGCATGCCGAGCTGGCAGAGCGGTCAAGACGCTTGCGGGAGGCGCAGGAAGAAAGGGACAGGATCATCAGGGAGAAGAAGGACGAACAGATGATGCTGTTTGTGGCTTCTACGCGGCGGACGCCGGAGGACACGCCGAAGCCACGGGACGAATATTACGACAGGCACGGCTGGCGACTATGGGAAGACGAGGTGCTGCTCGCGGTGATTCGCAGGACGAGGTCTCCGAATCTGGTGTTGCTGGCCAGGCAAGTACCAGGCAGATCGTTACAAGAGGTTACGAGCAGAGTGGCAGAGTTGAGGGAACTGATCAGGGCAAAATATGAGGCGGCGGGCATATTACCGCCAAAATGGTGTCACTAGTAGGAATTTGTCTGTTTTTGTGGATGGGTGATGCAATGATACCCCGGATTGGCAGCTGTTGTACTCCGTACGGAGTATGATTTATTGATGCGTACTGCAAAGCATGCAGTTTCAACGCTGGCGGGCTGTTGGCCATTTTGCTGCAGGTCACTGAGTTGGGGCCGACGATGGCCTTGGCGAGGTATATTTGCAGGATGTGTGTGTGTGTGTGTGTGTGTGTGTATGTGGTGTTGGGGAGTTTCCAGAATACCATGTTTTGTTGGTTGCAGAGGTGTAGTTGTGCTCTGCCGTAGCGACAAGGTGGGATTGAAGGTGGTGATGTGGCAGCCTTGACGCCCACGCCCCGCCTGGACCCGACGACGCGAAATTTATGGATGAGGTCGTGGCGCGTCGTTTTATCCGGCGGACAGTCTATAAAGCGCCCCCGCTGCAATTTCACTCTCGGCAAAAGCTGGGGAGGCAGAAAAAAGAACAAAGACAGGAGCAGGGACGCTGCAATCGAGCGCCATGTGTCGTGGCGAGCCTGCTCTGTGGGAGCACGTGCATATTGCGCTGCAGCCGTCTATGCATGCATGTGCAGGCACAGGTACAGGTGATGCAGACTTTGAACAAACGGACTCGACACAGATGGTATTGAAGATTGAGTATTGGACGGGAGTATCGAGTATAATTTGCCGTTGGGCGCGAACGAGAGGGGGGCGGTGACGGCCAACTATGACCAGGGTTGTCTTTGTGGTGACGGTCTGGAAATGAACACGGGCAATCTGTATTGCATCGCAATGTATTGTGTTGTATGCAGTATTCTATGCATGAGTGATGGGAGTCGGCAGTCGAGAATCGAGAGTCGAGAGACGGTGATGTGCTGGATTCTCAAACAGTCAATGCAGACAATCACTCGCGTCACGCATCACACCTGAATTGACCTCGAGTGGCCCGCTGAAATTGGACCATTTTCGTCTCGAGGCCAGGTGCCGGCAGCCCGCCCTGTGGGCATTCCGTCTGGTCTGGTCTGGTCTGGTTGAACCCCTGGGCCAAACCAATTTCCTCGCAGGCCATCAGACCAGTTGACGCTCTTCTCCCTTTGCACCACCACCCTCTCTCCCTCGCCTATTTGGACTTGCCTGTCGTCAATCAGTTTGTGTGCTTGCTTTGATCTTTCAATCGGTTTTGTGCATTTGCAATCGCAGAGGCTTTTGCTCTCCAGTGTTGTCTTGTTGTCTTGTTTTTGTCTTGTACCTTGTCGAGCTCCCGCATTCTTCAATTTCGCCGTCAGGGGAGCAGCTCAAACCTCTGCGCTACCCTTTGTAAGACATCGAGCTGAACCGTCGAGCGGTGCATCTTGGACGACGAACGAGGTGAGCTTTTGTCGACTCTGCTTGCACTTGGAAAGAAAACCACAGTCTTTTTCCCAATGCCATGGCACTCTGGCATGGGCTGCTTAGGCCCCCCCGGGCTCACCTTCGGTGCTTGCGCAGCTGAGCAACTGATGAAATCCACCATGATTCGATGCTAACATGATGATCCCCTTCTCTACAGCTATTCTCTCCCTTTCTTTGTCTACCAACCTCACCCTAATTGAGTTTCAACAATGGCGGACAAAGAAAACATCGACGTTGCCCAGAGTTCTGACGTGGCGCCCTCTAAGGAGACGACCCCTATCTCGCCAGAGACGCCATCCAAGGCTAGCGCTGCGTCGACCTCGCCCACGGCAAGGCGCGCCGGTGCGACTACAGCATCAGCATCTGCTCGACGGACTGCGGCGACCGGAACTACTGCTTCATCACGAACTGCTGCTGGCTCAACCGCTGGTGCTCGCGCCACGGGCGGGTTAAGCAAGCCGCCTACCCGGCCCCCTACAACTGCCACGGCCACTTCGCGACGTCCCACTACCGCTACCTCTACGACCTCTACCCACCGTAGCCGACCCAGCGTGAGCGTGAGCGAGGATGAGCGGAAATCCACCTTGACTTCCAATGCTGCCAGGAGGACGAGCACCCTCGTGTCTAGCCCCGGCAGGACGGCGGAAAAGAAAGCAACCACTGGTTCCGGTACCGCTGGCACTGCCCGTAAGCCTGCTACGACAACGGCTAGTACTACTGCATCGCGACCCTCTACATTCGGTTCCAGGTCGTCGACTGCCGGAACTACAGCCTCGGCTAGATCGTCTACAACTGCCGCAACTCGCGCTGGTGCAACGAGCACCACCGCGTCGAAACGCCTTTCCACTTCTGGTGCTACCGGCCGTGTCTCTGCCACAGCCAGCCGACCTACTACTGCCAGATCCGATGCATCTAGTGGTGCTAAAGAGATTGAGGAGCTCAAGACTAAGCCTCTTGAGGGAGATGCCGAGATTGAGTCTCTCAAAGCCCAGATCCAAACCTCAGAAACCACCATCTCTGAGCTCCGCGAGCAGCTGGCCAATGCTGCTCCCGCTGCCGAAACTGAGGCTACGCAGAACGCCATTGCCGAGGAGGCTCTTGCGAACTTGAAGGCTGAGCACGAGTCGGCTCTTGCTAGCCTGGAGAGCCGGCTCTCCGAAGTCGTTCAAAAGTTGGAGACGGCCGAGTTTGAGCTTGATCAGCACAAGGCCAACCTAGCGACGGCTGAAGGCTCCAAAGCTGCTGTCGAGTCCGAGATTGAGGCCCTGCGAAAGTCCCTCGAAACTGTTCAGTTGGAGAACGATGAAAAGGTCAGGGCTAGCGAATCTGCGCTGCAACAGGCTTTGGACGACCATGCCGCCAAGTTGTCTGAACTGAAGGACTCCTTGAGTGAACAGCACAAGACTGCTATCGAGGAGCTTGAAGCCAGTCACAAAAAAGAGCTTGAACAGGGGCAGACGGATGCTTCGGCTCACGAAACGGCCATTGCCGAACTCAAGGCTAGCCACGAGTCGATTGTTGCCCAACTGCAAAGCAAGATTGACGAGCTTACTGCTTCCCAAGCCGCCCTGGAGTCTGCCAACAACGAAAAGTTCCGATCAGACCAGCAGGCTCACAACAGCAGAGTTGCCGCTCTGGAGGGTGAGATTGCGGAGCTCAAGGCCCTCAGCGATGTCTCTGGCAAGTCTGCAGAGAGTGCCACTACGCAACTGACGGAGCTTCAGAACAGCCTGGCAGAGAAGGAGAATGAACTCTCCTCCATCAAGGAAGATTGGTCTTCTTTGTCGACGAAGCTTACTGAAATCCAGTCTGCTCTGGCTGACAAGGACGGGGAAATCGCCAAGCTCAAGACTATGCATGATGAGCGCATGAAGAACCTTTCCCAGGACTACGAAAACGAGATCGAGAGCCTGCGTGGTGACGCCTTCTTCAAACGCAAGTTTGAAGAACTTGAGGGCCAGCACAATGAGCTCAAGACTTCTTCTGAGGAGGCAGCCAAGACTCATTCTGATGCTCTTGCTACCTCCAAGGCCGAGCACGCCGCTGCGGTCGAAGCCCTGGCTGCCAGGGAGCAGGAGCACCAACAGAATCTGGATGCCCTGCGAGCGAGTCATGCTGAGGAGCTGGAGAGCGCAAAGACTGGTGCGTCTGCTGACAAGGATGCTCATATTAGTCAACTCGAGTCCCTCAAAGCCCAACATGCCGAAGAGCTGAATGTCTTGAAGAAGGAGAGCGAGGCCACTCTAGCCAAGGAACTCGAGGCTCTCGCATCCACGCACGCCGGTGTTCTAGATGCTCTGAAGCAGGAACATGCTGATGAGCGCCAAAAGTCCCAGGCCGCCCACGATGAGGCCCTCGCCGCGGCCAAGAGTGCAGGCAACGACGCTCACGCCAGTGAGCTCGCAAGCATTCAAGCTGAGCTGCAGGCAGCCAAAGAACAGCTTGAGCAGGCTCGGGCTGACGGCGAACTTGCTATCGAAAATGCCAAGAACGAGCTTGAAGAGAAGCACATTGGCGAGATTGAAAAGATCATCACCATGAATACCGAGGTCATGGATAAGATGAAGGCTGATGGCATTCAAACAAGGAAGGATCTGGAAGAGCTGACTGCTACCCACGCCAAATCCATTGAGGACGCGATTGCCGAGTACCGAAGCACCTCGTCCAGCCTGGAAGAGAAGCTGACCCAGCAGAAGGCGGCTAATGACTTGCTGGAAAGTGCTCTCAAGACGGCCCAGGAGGCTCTCAGCAAGGCCCAGGCCGAGGTGGAGGAGATGGGGCAGCAGCTTGCTCAGGAGAAGATGGAGCGTATGACGGCCCTGGCTGAGCTTGATGCTGCCAAGAGTGTCAAGCCTGACACTTCAGAAGCGGATGCCCTTCGCAGGGAGCTTGCTACATTGAAGAAGACATATGAAGATGCGCACGCCGCCGCCGAGGGGGCCCTCAAGGACAAGGAAGACGAGCTGGAGTCCCACAAGGACAAGCTTGCGGGTGCTCAGGAGAGCCTGGCCAGCATGAAGAACGATCTCGCACTCGCCCAGAAGGAACTTGAAGCTCACAAGTCAGAGGCGGACGCCAAACACAAGACTGCGCAGGCCGACTACAAGGATCTCAACGACAGCATGACTAGTCTGGTGGAAGATGCCAACAATAAGGCCAAGGAGCTGGAGGCTAAGCTCGGGGAGGCAATTAGGAAGGCCGAGGACAGCGACAAGAAGATTGAAGAGCTGATGGCACAGCTCAAAGTAAAGGATGCCGAGATTGTCGAGGCCAGGGTACGAGTATACAAACACAGAGGACTGGCATGCATGCTAATGGGTGGACAGGCAAATGGCGGCAAATCCAAGGGTCTGTCAAGCAGCAGGTTCGCCGGCGCAGAAAGCGGCAGCGACGGAGCCGTTGCAAATGATGACGCGGCTGAAGGTGAGGATGACAGCAACGGCATTGGCGGTGATGGTGATGATGATGATGACCACTCTTCAGCGGCATTGGCTTCGGTGCGCGAGCCCCTTTGTTGATGTGGCCGTAGTTTGCACGGTTTCCTTCCGTTTGCCATTGTCAGGGGAGAGATGATTTGAAGCTAACTTTTGATGTGTTTTTTTCTGGATACAGTTAAGTAAAGCGCGCTTGACGGCGAAGCAGATTGACGCCCTCGACAGAGAAATGAGGGACCGGAATTTGCAGTAAGTGATGGCGACGGTTCTTGCTTGGAGACCGAGTTGAGAGAAGGGGAGGCTAACCAGGCGGTGTAGACTGCTCAACTCGATAACGAATGCACACCAGTCAACGTAAATAAGAGACGGAATTCAATTTCACGCGACAGCGCCGGGCGGCTGATTTTGGAGAGAGAGAGAGGAAGGATTGCTTGATGGAGAATATTGGTATTGGAGTTTTAATTAGCCCCCCTTTTTCTTTTCTCCGATTGTTTGCCCTGCAATGAAGTTACCTGAAGACGACGCCGAGCATGAAGACGAGGTCTTGGCGATGATGAATCGCAGTGGGAGACACTCACGAGCACATGAACTGCTCGTGGTTTTTCTATCTTCCTTCTTTCCTGTCTTTGATGGTGGTTGGACGGTAGAATTGTTGTTGCAATGCGATGATGGATGAAGCATTCATTGTTGTGTTGTTGCGTCGTAGGTTAGTGGTAGGCTGTTGAGGAATGACGATACCCCCTCCTGTTGCTCCGAAGACGAGCTGACGAGGTGCCAATGTGATGAGATGTGCCAAGAAGGCTTATGTGAGCAACGTTGATGTCGACCAGTTGCTATTGACGGAGGCTCGATGGGGCCTCGATGGACGGGAGAATGTGTGAATGTGTGCGGCTGTTTGGAATCATGCAGGTTGTGATTCGGTGGTGGGAGCAATTGAGTTGGCCCAACCTGGCACCGGCGTTGATTTGTGCCGGAAGACTCGGTCATCGTCAACTCGTCCAGGGTCGGGGCTTTGGAAAGCACCGGGCGCCGGTGTTATGGGCTCACTCACTGACACTCAGCGCCAGACCGGATCAATTGGCTGCACAAGTGGCGTCCCGATGGCCAAAGCGAGCCGACAGGGGGAGCCCAGACCACGCCATGGCTGGAGGCACGACGCCCTGCAGATATTCCTACATGACGTCTCCCATTGACGGCAGATCCGATCCAAGAGCACTCGCGGGTCCACCACCTACCTGAGCTTCCTTCTCTCTCTTTCTCCTTTTCTTAAGCCTCACCATACGAACCATTCTTTCACAACATCTCCGGGTCAATTATCTTGTTTCCATTGTCCCTGTCCCTCGTCCAAGCTGCGCATTGCGAAGAATTTTTTTTTATTTTTTTCATTTTAATTTTTTTTTAGAAAAAAAGCCATGACCACGACGTAACCGTCTCTCCCTCTCCCTGCGTCGCATCGCCACCATCATCGACCTCGCCATGCCCCAAGTCAGGCGAGGGAGCCGGAGCCTCGATTGGCACACTCGTCCTCTGACAACGATATTATCCTCGGACAATGCCTCTCCAAGCGCAAGTGAGCCGCCAAACGGCGCGAATCCCGATAGTCGCCGGCCCACCGGTTCTTCCGGCTCCAGCAACCACAACCGCAACCGCAATCGCAGCATCTCCATCTCACCACCAGAGCCGCCGTCGCTGGAATCCCGCTCCAAGAGCGTCCCCGGCTCGCCAATAGCCTCCTCTTCCGCCCTCCACGAGCCCCCTCGCCGCAGCCTCTCCTACGCTCTCCGCCTGTCCGCGCCGGCATACTACGACTCCCGCGCCGCCACGCGCACCGAGTACGCCCGCCGCGGACGAACTCTCCAGGAATACTACGACGCCAACCCGCTTCTGCTGCCCCAGCTCCCCTTCACGTGGCACCACGGCCGACGTCGCTGGCATCTGCTCTTGTTTGCCTTCTTCGCCTTCGTCGATGCGTCCGTCGTCCCCATCGCCCTGTACTACGCCCTCAACTACGCCGGCCACGTAGAGGGATGGATCATCTTTGCCGTCGTCACCACTATTTGGGGCGGGCCGACGTATCTGGAGTTTGCCGTGCGCACTCTGCGTCTGATCAAGAAGGAGAGGTTCTACAGGCCCCTGGGCACCGACTCGAGGTGGTGTTTCGACATGTTGACCTGGGCATCCGTCATCACCATTACCGCCGTCACGGCGCTGTTTATCGTCGGCAGCGCGCCGCATATTGTCTGGCTGAGGGTGCTGTGCATGCCTGCGCCCGCCATATTGTACTGCCTGGGCGGTGTGATGGCGCTGATAATGCTTTGGCATGTCATGGGGTGGAAGGCGCCGTTTAGGATCAGCTCTACGGCTAAGGGGGAACCGGTAAGTCGTTCCGCCCACCTTTTTTTTTTTTTTTTTGGTCATATCAATATACCTTTATGATGTTATATATATATAGCCCAACGAGAAAAAATCACCCTGTGGAAAACAAAAGGCGGTCGTTCTGACAATGGGTGCGTCTAGGTTCTCCCCGCAGCGTACTACTTCATTGAAGATGTAGTTGCTGTCAATGCCAAGGCTGGTCGTCCGTATCGCGAGGCCCTCGCCGCCCGGTACAAGGCATCCCCGCGGTTCCAGCGGATGCTCTACGTACAGAGCATTTTTTGGAGCATCCCCGCGCCGGTAAGTCTTTCCCCCCCCCTTTTTTTTTTTTTTTTTTGGTCATATCAATATACCTTTATGATGTTATATATATATAGCCCAACGAGAAAAAATCACCCTGTGGAAAACAAAAGGCGGTCGTTCTGACAATGGGTGCGTCTAGGTTCTCCCCGCAGCGTACTACTTCATTGAAGATGTAGTTGCTGTCAATGCCAAGGCTGGTCGTCCGTATCGCGAGGCCCTCGCCGCCCGGTACAAGGCATCCCCGCGGTTCCAGCGGATGCTCTACGTACAGAGCATTTTTTGGAGCATCCCCGCGCTCGTGCTGGCCGCTGCCTTGACCGTCATAGCTGTTGTTCATCATGTCCCTGCTACGGTGGCGTACGGTATATGTTGGGCTGTGCCGTTCATCTGGTTAGCCCTGTGGGCAGGCATTTCCGTGTGGTGGTGCAAGCGGGACATGACTCGGGAGAGACTCGAGTGGGAGCAGAGCAGTGGTGAGCCTGAGAAGCAGCCGCCGCAGAGGACCGAGTCGGATTCGGGGTCGGGGGTTGTGGTTGGGAGGCCCGCCGATTCTGTGGCTGTTTAAAAGGGGTTCCTGTGATTTTAGCGTATGATAGATACCATGGTACATGAGGGAACTCGGGGCATAGCTCAGCATTGGGTTCATTTGGGATGGTCGGGTTGGCGTATGCATCGTGTACAATACCAAGCATTAGCATGGAGGAGTATATTTCTTGAATAGAGTGGGATTGTGTGGGTCGGCTTTGACTCATTGAGCAGTCAGATGGGATCTTTGGCCGTTGTTCCGAGTGCTTCTGAGCTACTACTAAGCGTATTCGGCATGAGGGCCGGACTACACGGCTCGCCATCGTTTGAGGCCTCTCGTCATCCTCTACCTTTCATCTTCTCTGCAGCGGTGTGGCACAGTATCAATGTCATGGATATGTTAATGCAGAGAGCCCCACATGTCGGCTCGTCCCGCTTCCGCATCAACGGTTCCGATCCACCAGTGGCAAATAAACGCTGGCTCGAGACCAAAATCCTGCCCCGAATCGCGCCTGCAAAGAGAAGGCGGTTGTCAACGGTAGGTCAGCTCGAAGCGAGGTTCATCTTTGTCAAAACAGCTGTATGCATGCCTACTAGCTACCGTAGCCTAGATGGGATATCCATACCTCTGGGGCGTGTCGTTCTGCACACACAAATACGGCGCCGTGTTGACTTTAACTTGGATAAAGGCGATTGGGAGTGTGTTATGTCCGGCTTTGAAACTCAATCATCTTTGAGCGGTAGCAGCGCTAAAAGACCCAATTCCGCTTAAAAACGCGATCCCCGCCATTTTTACTCAAAATCAACATCTTCTGGGACCTGCTGTTTATGCGGGCCATCCAGGGCTCTGTTGCAACGATTGATGCCTCTAATGGGCTGCTTTCTAGTAGAGTGTATGTGTATTGCTGTTGTCTTGCTGCCCTGTTGTTTCTGGCAGGTTTGGCGGCTCGGATGTGTTTGTGGCCGCGATTGCCTTTGAAAAAAGCAAAGTGCGCAAAGATGTAGCCATGTCGCGATCCCCCATCATGGTGGAAGGTTGAAAAATGTACGTACATGTACGTAAATATGGGTGGTATTCAAACTTGGGCCCGCTAAATTATATCAAACGCGAATCCCCGGTCAGAAATGGCATGTTGAAAGAACCAAAATGAATACCATGCCTCATCACGTATGGTTTAAACTCGCAACACAGTTCTCGTTGCTCGGCGCAACAGCCAAGACTCGGGACCAAAGACTAACGTGGGAGTCGGCGCAATTCCTAAAGGAGCAGCAAAATAACCCATGTAGCCAGTGTCAAACCACAAGGCAAATGCCGACCGAGCACATTGCTCTGGACTCGGCAACGCAAGCATCGCCTACATCACGCCATGCCAGTCGTGGACTTTGCGAAACTACCCTCTCGACGGCTTACGAAAGGGTTGCGAACCATTCACGAAGTATCAGACAGGCATTCCAGTCCGGTGAGGCTATGGCCACGGCCAAACGGGAACCACCATCTCCGCCCTGCAGTGCTACATCGAGAATGAGGAGCCGTGAAGTCAAGTACCCTCGTCAGCCAAGGAGAGCATACGGCTGCTCAAGAAGTGCGACGCCTCTGGAAATTCGCCGGCCGGCATATCTAAGCACCATATTAAAGCTTGTTCTTTCGCGAGCGACCAGCCCATCAAAGTGTCTCAAGTGTGTTGGGAAAAGAGTGGCATGTGTGGATTTCGCTACCACCTCATCTTCTCGCCAGGGATTCAAACGAAGCTCGACTTACGTTTGCGCTGCCCCATGCTCGGAGGCCGTAGTCACCCGAAGAAACAATCTGCTCATGTTTGAAGGTATTGAAATACATGTACAATCTCCTGGCGAACCAGCCTCGAAATCACTCGCGTCAATACAACGGCGGCGTCCCGCACCGTTGATGACAATGGAGCCCATTCCTTATAAGGACTTGGGCTAATACGCGTGTTTGGACAGACTCGTGTCTAAGCGAGCGTGATAAAAAATAGACAAAGTTGAGCCGATATGGTTTTTATTGTTTCCCCCTTCCCGATGGGATATTAACTGTCTTCTTGCTGCTATTAAAACAGTGAGGGAGGCTGGTCTTATTCCTTGATCCTGTGCCTTTTCATGATAAATGAATGAAATAACAATGAAATTTCATCCTAACTGAAGAGACCACAAAAAATCAACAAGTATAATGAATTCCACAGGTAATCGTTGTACTCTCTAGGACATTCTGGACCTTGCGAAATGCTCCAAATACTTGTAGCGATTCATCCGAGCCAGAGAGCCACGTGAATTCGTCCCTGAAATGCCACTCCAATGGTTAAGTTCATGATTTCGCTGGAGCCGCCACAGCCCTCTCTTCACTCTCTGTGTCTCGGTCCATGAGGGCGGGCCGTAGCCGCTTGAATTGGGGAACTTTAAGTCTGAGACTCTCTTGAAAGAATTCGATACAAGCTTCAGAAAGGACCGCAACACGAAGAAGAAGAAGAAGAAGAAGATATATCTCTCGCGGCGAGTACGCCGACTCCCCACCAATCTCGGTAAGAGAAGTACCAGCAAAGGGCTCAAATTCGCCCGAAGTGTCATAGAGCCAATAGTCTAGACCAGTCCCGTAATCGATAATGTCAACGTATCTTGCCAGAAATTCTTGATATGTCGAGGCCCATGGGTGTCTCTGGCGTGCAGGCGTGGACTTGGGCCACGAGTCGGACTAGGCACCGAATTTCAGGAGGAGTGTCGTTGGTCATGACTGACTCGAGAATCCCCATGCTCCATTGGTCGAATATTTCAAGATGCGAGATGAAGCGACAGTTGAGTTATAGAGATTCGCGAGGTCTGGAGCCGAGTTAACGATTTTGACCACCAGCTCCGTCGGAATGCGATCCAGTCTCCCCATCGTGGCGGAGGATGTGAACAAGAAAATCGTGATACTAAGGGAGATGAAAGTGGATAGAGATGCGAGAGTGGGAGACGAGACGATGAAAGGTCAGGAAAAACGGACCTCAATGGCGTTGCGGTTGGTATTTCAGTGCCTTTAGGGTCTAGCCAGTGAATGGACTTACAACTCACAATGAGCTCGGATTTCACTCACTTCCAATTCACTTTGAACCGCACCCACGCTGCCTGCTCCCATACATGTCTGCCATGACCACAACCACCTACTGCAATTGCAGTGCATCTTTCACAGCAGCTAATATCTCGAATAGCGCATTGTCATGGTATCGTCTCCCAACGAACTGCAAATCAATAGGTGCATCTTCAAAGTCGCCCTGGTGCCATAACTTCCTAACCTGTTCACACTCCTCGCCCAGTGCCGACTTCAAATCATATTTTTCCTCGCCCTTCTTCAGTGCCTTGATTGGTGTGGGCACGACTACTCCTGGACAATCGAGATAATTCCACATTGCCGTGTAGTCCCAATACCATGCCGTGTCATGGCTACTCGCAGGTCCTACGAATGCTGGACACAGGACTACATCGACACCTTGATTCTCCCAATCCAATGAGAATTCGGAACGCATATCATCACGGAGAAGTCGTTGTTCAAGGATGGCTGTGACGGACAGCTCCTCAGGAGCAGCTTCTCGTTGAATCCATTCCGTGAGAGGATGTCTGGGCTCCCCTGTAAGAGCGCGGTGGGCGTCTGCGTAATTTTTACCAGCTGGCCAGTATGCTTTGCGAATGTTGTTCATGATTTGCGCGACTCTGTAGGGCTTAAATGGCATCACTTGGAACCCTGCCTTTTCAAGGCGTGATTTGGCCCACTTCAACGCTCGAGTGACGGGTGGTTGGGGGACGATAACACCGTCGTGCATCATAAGACCGATTCGCAACTTTTGTGCCGACGGCTGTCTGGTGCTGGTTCTTATTCCTGTCCATGGAATAGGTATGATTCGGGGATCTTCAATCCATGGTCTCGCCCCTACAATGATGCTCATGAAGAGATCCATGTCTCTCAACGTTAGACACATGGGGCCCGTGGAACACAAGACGTTTAATTCAGCGGGTACACCGCCCTCTAGAAAATCCTTCATCGGGAGCGAATAACTCGTGGGTTTGAAGCCATAAATGCCACAAAATGCAGAAGGACCTCTCACACTACCTCCAATATCTGTGCCGACGCCCAAGACCGATCCGCGAAGTGCTATCAAGGCTGCTTCACCACCGGTCGAGCCACCTGCCGATAGTTTAATATTATGTGGATTGAGGGTTCTTCCGTAAAATGATGTGCTTTCGAGATGCATCAAGCTCTGTGGCTGGTTCGTCTTGCAGTAGAACACGGCACCTGCAGAGCGTAGAATGGCCACCATTTGACTGTCTTCAGTGTCCTTTGTCAGCGTATCCAAGTACCCCAAGTCTCTCCAATGGCCTGCGATAGGGATATGAGACTTGATACTAATGGGGACGCCATGCAAGGGACCTACAGTCTGTCCCGTGGTAGCTAAATGATCATCAAGTTCCTGTGCATGCGCAATGGCTTCATCCATGAACCACTCGGTCAGACAGCACGTAAGCTGGTGCGCAACCATGGCACGCTTGGCAAACGCGGTGGCCACGGCAACTGATGTCAATCTCTTGGAAGCGATGGCTTCCGCGAGAGCCGTCGCGTCATAGTTCTCTGTGATGTCGAGTTCTGCCTCAGACAAGAGGCCGCACTGGCGCGGGATGCCAATGACAGACTTGGGCGGATTCTGTATTGTATTGCTAGGCAGAAGGAGTTCCTCCGGTACCGCAGCCGCAAACCTTTGCAGAACTGCCAGCCTGGCCGCCTCGTAATCAGCAGTCCCTGCGGGAAGAGGCACAGGCTGCACCACGGGAACGTGGGTAAGAGTCATTTTCCTGTGATGTTGCTGATAGTAATGGAAGAACAACAGTATAGAAGAGCGTAGGCGAGCCCATCCCGCCAAAGCCTGTCGTCAACGCCAACAACGCTGAGGATATATGATATCTGCTCGACAGAACAAGAGAGATAGAAAGATGGACAGATGAGTAGATAGCGACGGGCCCCGGGTAGTTTAAGACGGAAGGAGCGTGCGGAGTTTTGTT